AGAGAAGTAAGGGAGGCCAGCTTCTGCTTCTATGCCTATACTTTTAGTCAAATTACCATCAGTAGACACCGGCATTGAGGGGTTTTATACTGGAGTTATCAGTTTGTTGTTACTTACACATGTACATGTAACACAGGACAATGACTGTCAGTCCAGGCACAAGAGTTCTGCAGGACACTTTCGCTGCGTAGCTCCATTTATATCAGAGTTTACAACAAAATACGTAACCCATGGGTTCAAAATCGGGTGCCTCCCATTTTGCCCTTCCACTAGTGCTAAATACAATCCAGTGTACAGCCAATCGCTAACAGTTCCCAGCCCTCCCTTCTACAGCACTGAAGGCACCCAACATTCCTTGGCTGTAATATCCGGCTACTCCATCTCAGGCTTTCCAGGGCCTCTCTTGGTCATCCAATTTACTTTCTTCAGCTTTACCTCTCTCTGCTCTCACTACTCAAATTCTGTGAGATGCCAATGAAAGAAATTTGTCCAGGTTAAGAGCCGCACAGTAAGACTTTATGGTGTTTCCAATTTAATAAAACAGAAACTGAATCCAAGAGTTACACTCAAAATAAGTCTCATGCTCAAAACATTTTCACTTGAAAAAGCTTTATTAGGAAAGGGAAAGAAAAACTAAGTGAGCATATGTATGCATGTAGTTAAGTCTATAAGGGATAAACATTTGCAGATTATTATGCTAAGTTTCTAGAATTCAACTGAATCAAGCCAGGGATTAGTCTTTTCTATTCCCAGTAGTTCTCTGAAGAGAACAGAAATGATTGATTTTTCCCTCAAGTGTGTGGTTCAGAAAAAAATTTAGCTCTCAAAAACAAGCCAAGACAGTTGTTCGATCACATCTCACCTGCTGCTGCATGCCAAGGAGCAGAAGTGGGGGGAAAAAAAGTCACACAGGGACTGCACAAAGGGGAAAGTGTATCAATATTTAAAGGCTCTAAGCTCAACTTGCAACTTGTAAAAATTCATTTTTAGCATTAATGGATTTCAGAGGTGGAATATATTAAATATAATGCTACAGAATTTCAGTGTGAGAATCTTCTATTGACAGATTTTAGGCTAAGTTGAACAAGAAATTATAACTTCTGTTACAGGTGCAACATACAAAATAAGTATTACTATGGAGATCAGATACTGAAAAATTGACATTAAGTAGCTAAAGACACTTACCTTAGAATTAGACGAACCAGTAGCAATTATTAACAAAACATGTAAGAGTTTTATATTTAGACTTACACAAAATTCAGTTCTACATTAAAAATGGTAATGAGTACTTGGAAAAAAACAAACAACAAACCAGAATTACTTTGGTTTGAAAACAAGAATGACATAATGCAAAGCATTTTTTATGTACCAGCTCTACAAATTTGTGCTCCTGTTTTGGAAGAGCACATGTTATCTGAGCTAAAGTATCACAGTCACCTTCAATATTAGATAGGTCTTCATGACATACCATGTAATCACCCATCATCACTTAAAAGACCAGCAGCTATACATCAATGAGGTTTTTTTTGCTCATCTGGCATGCCATGGTTCTCCATTTCTGTCTGGTTTTTTTGGTTTTGTTTTTTTGTTTTTTTGGTGGTTTTTTTTTTTACATTTACTAAAAAACCTCTAATACCGTTGTCTTGGTTTACAGCTAGATTCTATAACCAAAAAGTCTTCCACACATGAAATTATTGGAACATCTACTAGATGAGGAAGCAACAGAGGAAAATGAGAACATGCAACACTCATTTTCCACAAGCCTTTTTTTTAATGTACAAGAATCTAACCAGAACTTGAATAAACTAAGAATAGATACTATTTTACCTGCTGCTTTTGCTAAAACCTATCCATTTACTAGTGGCTTGTTGAGGACTCTGCACTCTAACATGAATAAACTGTTATGTTTTACAGGCTATTCCAAGTATAAAATCTGCATGTAATGCCGAAATGCTCCAAGAATACCAATGCCTGGTACATCTGAAATAAATTGTTTAACAACTATTATTTTTCAAACTCAAATCACACCAACAGCAGCTATGACCCCTTCCTTAGAACCTCTGCCAGAGACATGCACAGCTGAGATTAAGTTTGTCATCTCCAACTCTGACTTTACTAAAAAGTTACAGGACCAGAAAAGAGATGCTTTTTATAATTGCAAAATTTAGGTGATGTTATCTCAGAAGTAAAGCTACAAAAACGAAAAGCATGAAAAATGAAGACACCAAGCTTTTATGTTTTTTAGAACTGTTATTAGCTCACATTTCTGGCTCATGAAAGGGAAACCAGAAGGAATCAGCTGAAATTAGGTGTGGAAGATATATTGCTATGCAGGGGTGGAGCCCCTCTATTGTTTCTTTCCACACCCCATTTCCCACCACTACCTTATGTGCACCAAAGACCACATAACATTAATTCACCAAGGTGTTTAGCATTGAGTTCTGCAAAGTATCTTCAGCCATCTGCAAGAGTGAAAAGTGTACTGTGATACTACTGATCAACACAGCTGAGGCCAAAATCAAGGTGTAAGGCATCCGATTCAACACAAGCCATCAGCAACACTGCAATTCCAACTTAAATTAGGAACAGCTGCTTCTCTCTCTCTGTATTGCACAGAACTCCTCATTCAGCTACATAACTGGAGGTAGCAGGTGGGGAAAGATGACAGTTTCCTTTTTTATCTAGGGATTTTAAAGTATGCCCAACAGAAAGTTGATCACTTATTTCTTTTCTATGTTGGCAGAGGTCAGGCAAAAAGAGGGGAGGAAGGGATTTTATTCTGTCAGCCCATGTTTGACCAGGGCTTCCCGTTCTAGCATGTCCTTAGACTGAGCTGTGTGGCAAGACACAAACAAAATGGTTCATATTACTGACTGTGTCATCCTTGACCTCTCATGCTTTGAGTATGACTAACTGTTCTTATCTGAGGAAGAGATCCACTTTAATGGCCACTACTCTGTAAAGTCAGAAAGTCTCCCAGCCCCACTCCCGCTGTCAAGACAAATACAGACTCCTCAAGGGTCTTAAAATAGGCTCCACACCCCTACCTATCCAGCCAAAGTGCTTTCTGGCATTGAGCCAGTGGGAGACTCCAGTAATGTTTTCATATGTTGTACATGTGATCAATGACCCCCCTCTACCATCATGGGGTCTATCTGTCAAAATGCCTTTGATTGGTGTTCATAGTGGAGACTGATGAGATAAATATGCCAACACTTCAACATAGTAAGAAAACAGATTGTCAATAGAAACTTTCTCCTTACCTTAATCCATATCATGAAGTCTAACAGAACCTCAAATCTTTCTAGACTATTCAATCCATTCAGCTTCTCAGTTTATTACCCTGGCTTTCCTTAATCTGTACCCATTTTCTCATTTGTAGTACAGCTGTTTAAGAAGTCTAGTTTCTCTAGAAGTTAAGAATTAACTCTCTGGAGTTAAGACACAGAGATTAACTTTTATTTTTTAGGTATCACTGCAAAAATATATATTTCCGTATTCAGTTTTCCAGACTTCCAGTTTCCACTTCTCAAGTAGTTAAGAGAAAACCTTCAGACAGGAGTACCACATTTACTTATGAGAAAGCTTAAAAATTCTTAAAATAATTGCTTGCCCTACTACTCCTCACTTGATTATGGTCTCCATCTCCTAAACAGCAGAGATGGCTGTTCATTCCTGTCCTCCCCCCACTGCCTCATCTGAAAACTGGGCAATAGACTCCAGATTCACCAAGTGGAAGTGGGTGGGTAGATCTGTCACTTTTTCCCTTTCATGCCCTCCCTTTGATGGAGAAAGGAGTATTTGGCCTCTTCTAACTTATTCAATGAGCTTCTTTCCACAGGGGTCCTGTCTATCACTCCAAGTGAAGTTTCAGCGCTCTATGTAGTATTTGCAAAGCTGCATGTGGGAAGTGAGAAGACATGCTTTGGTCAGTGACATCTTCTCCCCATTAAGTTCCCACATTAACTGAACTTAAGCCAGGAAGTATGAAGGAAAGGTAAAAGTTGAGTATATAAAAACCTCAGTGCATATGCTACCAAGTTCAGAAAGAAATTAAAATAAGCCTCAGCATTTTAAAATAGGAGATTCCCTCTATACTTTCTTGGAATACACTGGTTTCGATCTTTTGGTGTTTTCTGTACCCTGTATCCTTTAGCTCATTTCTTTTTCCCGTTAGGTTTCCTCTGTAGTAGCCATTTTTGCTTCTGTACATTTGTGCTAAGATAAGACAGTTTTCACTTTCTTCCTACAATTAGTTTGGCATTTAGCATATATACTGAGGCCGGGGTTGTCAACTGAAGCTATGAAGCAGGTAGCTGACCTTCCAAAAGGGACACTGCCTATTACAGATCTTTTCATCTACCCTACAAATACCTCTAATAGCAATCAGATATTCAAGTGATACCAAATGCTGATATTGATACTGAAACGGGCAAACTGGAAAAAAGATCTTCTGGGAAGATTAACGTACAAGTGTGATTTTTTTTTTTTTTCCAGTTAAATTTTACACATACCTGAGGAGCATGGCAACCACTTGCAGGCAATTTTTAGGTCTCAAAAGCTGTACGTAGGCAAGCTGACAATGCAGTTTGCTCAAGTATAGGCTTGGTTACAGCTGTTCCATGCAATGCTAAGATAGCTTATTATGTTGAAATGAGTCTAAGTCATTTTCTTTCTTCAAACACTTTACTCCTATACCTATACCTTAACACCTAACTATACTCCTGATGGCACACTGCAGGTTTCACCCATTTGCAGCAGAATCAAACCCATGGACCTAATTAGTTTCTTGTTCTGAGACTTTAGTTTGATCTGTACAGTTTGTGACTGGAGACCTCAGGCGTATGTTTTGCACAACCCACCCCTGTTTTCACATTAATTGTTTATCTTGCTACCCCTAAAGACAAGTGAGAGAAATAAAATGAGAAAGCTCAGCAACTTTCCCTTTTGTTAGTAACACCTCCTACTGTCAAGAATTACACCAGAATTTGCTTACTTACATCTAGCGAATCCTCATTGACCAGGATGAGAGACATACTCTGTGAAATGAGTCTGCAAGAGTACCCTGCAAGAGGAAAAAAAAAAACCCACAAGAATTTACTTTTTGGAGGAATATTTAAGGTTTAGCTAAACATTAAAATAAGCACCTATAGGTCAGACTAAAATTTACTTCTTGAGCAGTTACTCCTATGAGGCAGGCTACTGGAAACACTGGTGTACAGGTCAGGCTCCAACTCGACAATTTTACTAGCAACAGAGGCTGCATTTTATCTGCATTTCCAAATACATCATTTGAGATGTTTTAACCAAATAAAACACCGTATGAACTAGATGCAGTAAATATAGGCTATAGCCCTACAGCAAAGTGAAGTATTTCTATACCTAAGCTTTTTTTTTTTGATCTACATGAAGGCAGAATTGCCTTCAGCATGTTACAAGAATAGATCTGAACACACAGCCGCAGCTATGCCACATGACTGGAAGCACACACATTGAATCCGTTGGTGCTACCCAGTCCCCTTAGCCCATGCTTGAGTTACAGGAGTGTTTTTTCATCCTGAGAGTTAGTGTGGAAGGCCCTGAGCTTCATCGAAATCTACATATCAATGATACACAGAGACCCTACCAACTCCTATAGGCATCAGGTAATCGTACTAGATCATTTTTATTGTAGAGCCAGGGCATGAAAGAACAAGAGCAAGTCGCCATAGTCTGGAGCAGTGCTTGGAAGGCAGCTCTGTACATCTGCCAGGACACCAAAATTCAAAGCAAAAATTCTCAAACCAGAAAAAAGCCACTTATTTTTATAATAGTAAAAGCCAGTGAGGGCAGTACCACTCAAGTGCCACTGAAGTGGCAGTTCCTCTGCCACACAATTGTCACTGACATAAGACAAAGTCATAACCAGAATATATATACTTGGCATCTACAGAATAAAGAGTTAATTCCAGCTCATACTAATGTCAAGAGAAAAATGCAAACTCGCATCAGACTGATCGCACTGCATTATCCTAAAGGCTCATGCAAGTTTCTCTTGGGACTGGCAACGTCATGTAGCTTCATAAAACAGCAGATAATTCATTTATTTGAAGCACATGCCTTTATTACTGATCTAAGTTACACAGGAAAAGGAAATACAGTAGAACTGGTTTTTTATTTCTTTTGTGCTTTTGTATAGAAATGAATCACAGCAAGTTTAAGAAATATCTGTCATAAAATGAGGTCTCAGGAAGCCTTCACTTTTCTTAAATGGAGACTGGAGGCTACTGCAGCAGAAGAGTAAACATCCCAGTGATGAACCACTGCAAGGTTGACAGGTTCAAAAGCAGAACAGCATAGTCAACGTAACAAGATGAAGTGTGTCTCTCCATATCTCACAACAGCAAGAGAACAACTGAGGCACAAGTTTATTTTCTGTGGAATTCTTGGTTCCTTAGGCAGGCCATACTGGTTCATCAACTACAATGCAAATCATTTCCTCAGGCTACAGAATTTTTATAATTGGGCAGGTTTTGTAGGTATAATCCAAGGTTAACATGTCTGCATGAATGACTTATGTCAAGAAAGCAAACCACTTGTCCTCTTCTGTGGAAGGCATGCTTGTATCACATAGCCAGGTGCTTTCAGGCAACAGGTTGGATTACCTGCAGAAGCTCTGTTTCTCTTCCATTTTCACAGCTGTGTAGAATGTGAATGTCAGGCACAACCTTGCAGATACATTTTCACCTGATTTGTATTAACTAGCTAAGGTTTACTTTCTGCTTTAGAGAACAATACAGAATAACACTGAACACTCACACACCTGTTGGGAAAAAGATGAAATATATTCTAACAAAGTGCAGCCTACAACATGGGAGAGCTTTGCAGATTGCCTCTGATGCTGCCTGTGAACAAGTGTTAAATGGTAGGACAGAACTGAGTAATGAAGCTTCAACAGGTATAGACAAAATGCTGACGGGGGAATAAAGTCAGTTTGCCATTTTTAAAAGTTAGTCCCAGGCTGAAGAGCCACTTCCTTATTTTTACTGAGGAGGAAAAGAGGATATCACAAATTCCAGCATTTCCCTCCACATCAGGGTTATTCTTTCCCCAGGGAATGGCAACAGTCTTGCACAGTAGGCTGTTACAAATTCAGTATAACTAATTCAAAAGGATTTTATAGTAGCATTTGATTGGAACAGCAGCTGCAATAGCAAGCTGTAATTTCTAAACCACCGCTCACTCTTTCATTTTACCTCTTTCAGAAGATGTCACTCACCAAGTAGAGCTGGAAAAAAAAAAACCTGTGGAAAACTGAGTTGCTCTGCTGTGCATCTTGGAAGTCATGGATGCAGAAGAACTAATCCTGCAATCGAGGTCATTTTGTCTCTTTTCATCACATTAAACAGGAAAGAGATCACGACTGGAATAGGAGGATATAAGTCAAGCCCAAGAACTGTTTATAGGAGATCTATATGGTATGTACACAATGTCAGGACTATGAAGATGTTAAAATCTACCACTAGTATAAAATAAAGTAGCTGGCAACTGTGAGACTAAAATATGACTACAAATGTCACTTATAAAGTTCTAGAAATATTTTATCTTTTATATATAGTTGTAATAGTTATACTGGCAGTATAATAGTTATTACTGGCATTACTAACATGGCAAGCAAAAATACACTAATATCAGGGCATTTTTTTGTCTATGTTTCTGAGCAGAATAAGATCAACTGCTGGTTCAAAGCCAGGTATAATGTCAATGCACACCTGTAAGTTGATATCTAGCTCTGTAATTTAAAAGTCTGACTAAAAGTCCATGAAGCAGATGAATCAGGTACTTCTGGGACTTATTTCCCTTCAAGTGTCCTGGGAGAAAGATTGCTTGAACCAGAGTTCAAGATCATAGCCCACAGGCACATTCGTACTGCAGGCATACAGAATTCAGCACCTGAGCCAAGAATGATTATGCTCTGTGTTTAGAGAAGGTACATATGCCCTGCTCAGACTTCGCACAGGGACACAGGCAAGCATGCTGGCATTGCTTCCATTCCCTCAACTGAAAAATCATGGCTCGCCATAACAGAAGTATTCTTACCTCTAAATTGGAGACGTATGGGTTTGATGGATGGACTGTTAGATGGGTAAGTAATTGGCTGGACAGCCGCATCCAAAGTGTTACAGTCAACGGCTAAACATCCAAGTGGAAACCAGTAATTAGCAGCATCCCTCAGGGATCAGCCCTGAGACCAATACTATTTAGTGTCTTCATCGATGACAGACAGTGGGATTCAGTGCACTCTCAGCAAGTTTGCAGACAACACCAAGCTGAACAGTGCAGTTGATATACTAGAGGGAAGGGGCGCCATCCAGAGGGACCTTGACAGGCTTGAGAAGTAGGACCATAGGAACCTCATGAAGTTCAGCAAGGCCAAGTGCAAAGTCCTGCACCTGTGTTGCGGCAATCCCAAATATCAATCAGTACAGACTGGGGGACTAGTGGATTGAAAGTAGCCCTACTGAGAAGTACCTGGGGATACTGGTGGATGAAAAATTGGACTTGAAACCCCACCTGGAGCACTGCATCCAGGTCTGGAGCCCCCAGCATAAGACAGGCATGGTCCTGTTAGAGCAGGTCCAGAGGAGGGCCACAAAAGCAATCAGAGGGCTGGAACATCTCTCCCATGAGAAAGGCTGAGAGGGTTAGGGTTATTCAGCCTGGAAAAAAGGCTCCAGAGAAATCTTTCAATATATAAAGTGGGCTTATAAGAAAGATGGAGAAGGACTTTTTACCAAGGTCTGTAGTGGCAGATGAAGGGGCTATGGTTTTTCAATTGAAAGAGCGTAGGTTTAGACTAGACATAAGGAAGAATTTTTTTTTATTATGAGGGTGCTAAGACTGCCCAGAGAAGCTGGGGATGCCCCATCCTCAGAACTGTTCAAGGTCAGGCTGGATGGGAGGCTTTGAGCAACCTGATCTAGTGAAAGATACGTCCCTGCCCATAGCAGGGGGGTTGGATTAGATGACCTTTAAAGGTCACTTCCAACCCAAAACATTGCATGAGTCTGCAATTGCAAGGCAGCGCTTGCAGCTGTGAACACATACTCTAGGTAAGAGCACTTAGCTCAACTGTAGGTATTGATTCTTTCTTCAAGGCAGGGATGCAGTTCAGCAAACACTACTTTTGCAGAAAACAATCTGTTACTAAGGAAGTTATTGGCTGGAAAAACATCAGTTCTGATTTTCTGGGAGTCTGCTGAGCACCAAGATGGTAATAAATAGCAATCTGCCATGGGGGTTTTTGCCTCACTGAAAGGCTTTGATGATCCAGAGTCTGCAGGTTGTTTTAAGAGATGGATGAAGCTATAAGAACACTGTTAAGCCTTTTAGAGTTTGCAGACACTGGCTAAGGACAGTTTCAGCTGATAAAAACTAAAGACCATATGCCACACTCAAAAACATTTATGAACCTGGAACTCCTATTTTCTATAGGTAGAGAGTTCAACTGGTTGATCAGTATTAAAGCTTATCAGGAACACACTCCTCACCTGCAGCACTACTGGCTGGCACATGACTGAGTGGGAGGCATACAACCACCCCACAGCAAGGTCAACCATTACTCTTCAGAGAAGGCAAGAATGCAGTAAAGAGACAGACATACACAAATTCTGAAGGCCAAAGAATCAAGAGAAAGCTGGAAGAATGAAGTCCTCCAACTCCTTGGGGCAGCTGCCAAGAGCTCAAGTATCACTCAATACATATATGTATTTCCATACATCAAGCAAGAATCCATAAGCATAACCTCCACACACGATGAGAAAGTGAAAACACTTTTTACTCCCCAGACAGCATATTTACACCTAAAGCATAAAACATACATGTGAATGGCATTTTAAATTGAATGTTTATTAGCTTTAATGGGTTACACACAAAAACTGGAAGTACATGTTTTTACTTTCAAGCCAACTTGAACACGAAGCCAATTAAGTTTGAGTTTTACTACCAAATCATATACTAATCAAAGTGATAATTTAGAAGTTTTAAGGGAGATACTTGTTCTTTTTAAGTTGCTAAAAAAACAGTTTTAGAGACAAGCTGGAAGTTATTCTCCTTCACAGCCTTCAGAATCACTGTAAAGCTCATGTACTCGTATGCAAGCTAGCTGCTGTTAGTTAATATATCTGAAACAGGTTGGATATTTATGCCGAAATCTGTAGTTACTTTTTTTTTTTTAATTTGTTCAAAGATGATGCTTCCCCCCTCTGAAGTTGACTACCTCTTTTAAAGAAAGCAAACTCTGCAGGTAGTGATTAAACCAGATAACTAGTATTTAAATCAGCTGTCCGCTTAAGCCATCCACCTTATTTCTACTACAACTGTATCAGTTCAGCAACTTATTTCATCTCTTGGTACCAACTTTGACATACAAAGATACATGAAACCTGATTCCATTTTAGTAAGTAAACAAAAGCTCTAGTCAATCAAGCAGACTGCATTCTGAAATTCCACTAAACCAGCTGAAGTAGAAAAAATTTCAAAAGCAGACAAAAATAGCAAATGCCCAAAGTTTTGCTAAAGGTAATATAAGTTTAGTTAAAGAGCATCACAGTTCTGCCAGGAGGAGCCTGAAATACACCTACATGCAGTTCTACATATGAAAAGCTTCATCAGTCACATTGTTCATGTAGTTAGAGAATCTTGAGGTCAACATGAGCTTGACAAGGCTAAAGAAATAGCTGCTTCAACAGAAGGCAAGGTGTGTTGTTAAGGATCCCCTTAACCTACACTTGTACATCTAAACAGACTCATCTGCAAATCTGAATGTAATCATGGGTGGCACTTTACAAAGGCACGCTACAGACAGTGAGGATAAGCAGAGTGTTCTAGACCTAAGAAACAATGTGAAAGTGCCACTCAGTTCTGCGAGATGTCGGACCAGAATGCCACTCTGCCTCTTTCCATCTGTGGGCAGATTTACCCATTGCAGGGAGAAAAATCATCACAAGCATGCTATGTTTGGGAGATATGCGATGTTATGGGGCGAGGGTACTTATATCAGGATCTGTTCCTTTATTAAGTGTTTGCTACTCAGTTACAATCTGGTTAGCCCCTCTCCTAGGAGGCTCCTAGCAATGCGTGAAGGGCTATGGCACGATGGTAGCATAGGCGTAGCTCACAAATCAGCATTTCAAGCATGGCAGCATTCCGTGAAAGCACAAGGTATTGCTACCCAGGCTGCCCACCTTGCAACCATCCACAGTGAGAAAAAGGCTGAAGGATTTGAGTTTTGAGTACTTACTATGCCTACTCATGTGGCATACTCAATTCAAGACTAGCACAATAGCGGAAGTGCTACAGAGCACAACATCTAGTTGCTATGGGACTGAAATTACAATGTGCACCTCCAGTTCAGCCCAGACTTACACCAAAATCTTTGTATTTGACAAATTACAAGTAAAGCTGGGTATATAGACTGATTTTATCAGATACTTCTATGACCTAAAAGGAACCTAATGTTTAAGGGCTACTTCTAATAATGAACCTAAACTTACAGGGCTAAAAACTCTCGTTTTATGTTGCAAAAAAAAAAAAAGTCAAATGAACACCTATGGCTTAAGTAGGTTATCATTCTATTACATCAAGACCCAAGCACAACAGTCTGATAAATACTTTCATTGGTACTTTTTGTTTGCATCATTGCAAGATTTTTATTTTTGCACTACAAAGAACGTAGTTTGTAAGTTAAGATGCATCAACAAGTTTGAGACAAGGATATCCATATTGTGTCTTGATAAAACAACTCATATTAAACTTTACCCGTACACTCAATAGCAGCAACACACTTCCACTAACAACCATGACATACTTGACTAAGAGATGTGCCATAAGGTGACAGCAGGAGCAGTTATTCCAGCATCCACCTACTTTCACAGACAAGGTTTGAAAGGAGGTTTAAGCTATACATTTTGTATTACCATATTTCCCATCATATCCCAAACTCCACTGAAGACTAGAAAAGGCAGCCAGTAAGACAAGAAAAAAGCCATAAAACAGTTTCAGTGTAACTGAAACATTACAGTCTGGTTGAGCTCTCCAGCTTCCATCAGAACAGTTACCTATATTCACTCCACACACAAGTTACGCTTGACCAAGAGCAGAAGTGTCCCTTTTGCCTTAAAAAAAAACCCTGAATATAGCCTGACACTCAGAGCAAAGACTTGACTCCAAACCCTGGCCCCCCTTCTCCAAAGTGAAGGCTACCACACGCCTGTCTGCTACCAAGGAACCATTCTATAAAAAGCAGGCCTGTTTTTGTTTAAAATCCCACACAGCAGACCTAGTAAGGAACCTGCCACGTATCAGACAAATTCAGAGTAACCAGAAAGATGGATACCTATATTGAGAGCTGTTTCCTGTTTGTCCCCTGTCAGAATCCATATCTTAATTTCTGCCTTCATTAGCGTTGCTATTGTTTCTGGAACACCTGCTTGCAGGCGGTCTTCAATGGCTGTAGCTCCAAGCAGCAGTAAATCCTGGAAAAGAAGAATTTGAGGGATTGTTTTCTTAAGATAAACCTCTATTTGGAACACAGTCAAGCAGGAATTAAAGACAGCATGTTGTGCCTCATCACTAATACAGCATTTTAACAAGCAATATACACCACAGTAAGTTTCTGGTGTGGCTATTCTACTTCCTCTGCATGCAAGTCTCATTTCAAGAGTTACAGAATAGAACCAAGTGTTTCTGATCAGAAAGATGGCAATGTTTCAAGAGCAATTAATTGAAGTTATACAACTCCAGAGCTAGCCTATGGATGAACATACACACTGGAGCATTCACTAGTCACCATAGCAACATGACAAGTGGTCACAGTATATATATTTCTTAAGCTCAACAAAACATAAGTCACCTGACATCACATCATTTAAACTAATTTCCCTCCCATAAAATGTACATACAGACTGGATACAATCACTCAAAGCAAAAATTATTGCAACTATTTATGGATACAATCACTACATTTATGTAATACAAGTGGTATGAACATTAATCAATCCAAGTATCTCTAGTCTACATACAGATGTCTGCCAGAAAAACGAATTATACAACAAGCTTAATACTACAAGAGTTACCCATAGTCTCATGCAATTTGAAAGCAATTGCTTGAAGAGATTTGGCCATGTTACAGGCAAAAAAAAAAACATCAGGCAGACAAAAATACCCAAGACAAACCTTGTCAAAAGGCACAGTCTATTCAGCAGATTTTAACTTTAAAGCATTTTAATGATTCCTTACATAACATGTAAGAATATTCAACTTTAAAAGAATTGATACAAACTGAGTTTAGTTTCACTGTATCATTTCAGGAATTGCACAGAAAAAGTAGTATCTTCCATTCTTTGTAAGGACTATAATTATTCAAAACAAGTGAAACAGATGAAATGAACAGAAGTAGTTAGGAAAGTTGGTGGTGTTCAGCCTGGAGAAGACAAAGCTCCAGGGGGACCTTATTGTGGCTCTTCTACATATAAGAGGGGGGTTATAAGAAAGATGGAGAAAGACTGTTTATCAAGGCCTGCAGTGGCAGGGCAAGGGGTGATGGTTTTAAACTGAAGAGGGTAGGTTTAGACTGGACATAAAGAAGGAATTCTTTAAAGTGAGGGTGGTGAGACACTAGAACAGGTCACCCAGAGAAACTGTGGATGCCCCATCACTGGAACTGTTCAAGGCCAGGTTGAACAGGGCTTTGAGCAACCTGAACTAGTGCAAGATGTGCCTGTTCAGGGTAGGGGGGTTTTTCTTTAAAGGTCCCTTCCAATCCAAACCTTTCTATGATTCTATGAAGAGGACTCCCGCTTGTACACATCTATGCATGCATGAAGAACAGAAGAGGAAGTTGTTATTCATACAGGTATGTGGGCTGGCATTAGTTACAGGTCTTGACAAAGCTTAAGTTCTGTTACAAGATACTCAGCTGGTAAAGGCAGTAGAATCAACTCCCATAAGTCATTTGCTTCAGTAGCCTACAGCCTCCTGGTGAAACACTAGCCCTACTGATGCTACCAACACTTAAAGGTTACAAGAGCAATCCAAGTGCACAACTGTAGATTGTCTTCTATTCCCAAAATCCTTTGTTAAGCAAATTAAACATGATAGCACAAGGGTCAGCATGGCTGAGCTACCCAAGCAGGGGAGTTACTACTGCGCCTGCTGAAGCCCCCTCAGCCCAGAGTATAGGTCAGGACAGAAGCCAGTTCAAGGTTGTCTCCACATTGCACCTGTACTAGGATCCAGTAACCTCAATACTCAGACTGACAAAGTAGCTCTCCCACTCATTTGAGCCCTTAGATGAAAATCGGCCTGTTAAAATACATTATATTTTATGTTACAGCCACAAGCCAGTTTATTATCTAGAAAGAAGTGCCCACAGACTAGATCATTTAACCTGGGAAATACCAGCTCTAAGAAAAAAAAAATAAAAATTAAGTTTCAAGTGCAATTCCCTGCTCCTTGGTATGACCAGCAAGCAAACATTAAGAGGAAAGGAATACAGTAGATATTTCCTACCGATATAGCACTAAGTCCAAAACTCCAACTCTACAACCCACTCACGGGTCCTTTTTTTTCAAGATATTAAATTGTGAAAAGAGGCACAAGGTAGGCGGCCAAAAACGACCTAAGGTTTGACAACACATTTTTGAAGAGAATCAATGCATGTTCATTTTTCACCTCAGTGAAAACAGAAGAGCACAAGAGCACAGTGCAGGAAGCAGACAGCTGAAAGGAGCCATGCAAACCTACAGAACCAAGGATTAGTTAAGCTCACTGCTACTGACGGGCCAACACAAAAGACTGCTTTAGGTGCTAGTTTGAAAAGCAAGACCCAATCTTCAGCTTTTACTTAAAGAGTTCTTGGAGTTTTTCTGTTACCCTACGAAAGTTAGCTCCCATCCTAGTTCTCAACTTCCTTCCCTCTTCTGTCCCCACTAACCTAAATAACCAACAGTGCTCCAGAACTTAAGTTGCACTGTTAATATTAAAGCAATTGAAGTTCAAAGAGCATTTTAAAGAAACCACTAAATAAAATGAGTGTGAAATAACTGGAGCGAGGGGAAAGAGCATTAATAGGGTAGGCAAGGAGTGGGACTACCAGCACTTCAGAAAGCAGTAAGACCAACAAGTATCAGAGAAACACTGGCCCCTAGTGTTGACAGTTTAACATTTCATAATACCTACTTTCCCCTTCCAGAATTATGAATTCTAAAATTCATATGGAGAGCAACTTTTCATCTTTTTGCAAGTCCATGCAAGTACAGCCCTTGGTGAGCACTTTCGTCTACAGTGTCTATAATCACCTTCAGAAAACCTGAACTGTGACTGCTGTATGAAAAGGAACAAATTTTTCTTCATAGATGGGAATTTGGTGCAACACAATAATTACATACCTTATCAAGCTACATCAACCTTACACAAGGCAGCAAGATAAAAAGAATGTGAGAAAAGAGTTTATAAGTAGCAATGACCCTTTATACGGAGTTAGTCTCAGATTTACAAACTAAAACTTGAGAGGTCTATGGACTGAACAGGTTGCCGATTAAGAACACCTTTTCAGTTTCTCATGAATGAAATTAACAGATTTTTTTATTGTATAAAGCCCAAATTCCATGGGAAAAGACACATGTAAGGGAATCTTTATCTGGTCATCAAAAAAGTACATGTCTTACCTTTTCAATGATCTCATAGCATTCCTCCAGCTTCTGAGTTCTGTCTTTCAGAACTGTACTGCTTTCGTTGTAGACATTCAACCACTCTCTGTAAGAGTTTTCTGACAGGTCTGCATAAGCAATGCACAAAGTCCTCAGACCTACAGAAGAGAAGACAGCCATTACACACAGTAAAATTACACCAAGTATCAGCAAATCAGTAATGCCCTAATGAATGTTAAACCCTAACCCTTTCATTTGAACTTTTAATGCACACTTAAACTCTGGATTCCAGAAGAATCTCCCTGTACATTTTTAGAGCATTTGGGTTTTCACAAATGTAAAACAAGAGCCTGGCTCACTTAGGTTAACTAATCTTGGTACAAATCAATAGAGCCTAATGGGCATAAACTTCTCCCTGATTTTCAGTATTGCAATCTAGCCGTACTGGAACAACAAAATGGTCATCTTTAATCTTTTAATCTTTTTAGTTTCATTATGAAAGCAAGCTTGGCTTTTATGTATTGTTAAAAAGATCAAATGAAACAAAGAACTGGCTACATATTGTGACTGGAGATATTACTTAGTCAAACATACTGCACAGCCCACATTTCCTTTTAGAAAGACTGTTCTCTCCTTTGGTGTATGCACAGTAACTTACAATAATGGGAGTTACACCTGCACAAAATAGTACAGAATAGTGTTGATGAAGTATGAAAAACATTTTATTAGACCACTGACAAACTTAACATACAGAAGTAATGATTTTTTTTTTTTCTGGCATGAGTCAAGCAGAAAGGAGTCTGTGCCATAAAATACAAAAGTTTAGTTACTGAGAATGTGGGAGTCTGAACTTATTTTAAAAAAAAGCTAAATAAATAGCGTTTTCAAATTTAGGAAGAAAACCACTGGTTCATGGTTTTACTACAATGCAAATATTTTCTGCTACTGCAGAAAAGGGAACAAAGCCGAGTACTTAACTGTGAATGGAGGTGTTACATCAGTCATGAAGGCCTTAGATACCATTTCAGATAATCTTTGATGTTTTGGTGTTCCAGGCTTCTCAGCATGTTCAGATTATCATTCTGCTTCACAAAGCCATGGACTTTGTCATTTGACTTTTACACTAGCAAAACCACCTGTAACTCCAACGTAATTGGGGTGGTCTGGGCAATAGAACTCATGCCCTTTGCCTTCACCATGGCCACACAAAACCCCATCTTTTCCTTCCGAATTCCACTTCCCTACTGAAAGTGCACAGAAGCAGGGCACAAACTGCCTTAAGCTTAAAGTTATCCTAGAGTTGTTAATTTGCTGATTACACACCACTTCTTAATTTATCTTCTTAACCATCTTATTTTGCACTGCAAAGCTTAGAGAATGCAGAACATGCTGCAAGTAATTTGAATTCTCATGACATGCTGTTTCTCTTACCTTCTGTTGCGAAGTATTCAAGATGGCACAGTGTTTGCTCCATATACTGGGAATCTTTTGAAAGCCTCTCAAAAATTACATTATCCTATTAAAACCAAATTCATTACAACAGAGTAAGTCTACATATGAAGTTCCCATTTGCTTATTTACAAGCTTAAGTGACATAACCTGAGTGGACTTGCTAATATCAAACCCCAAGATTACATTTACAAATAATGCATTTGGGTTTTAGAGACTCTGGTTTGGGTAAGGAATCTGGATTGTGCCCAATGGCAGAGATACTGCATCTGCTTTAAATAATGGGGACAGAAGCACACTCCGCCCTCTTCCCCTCTTTCTTTGTAGGAGTCCCCATTACTGGGCAGTACAGAACACTCCAATCTGAATTATTTAACAGCGATACTGACTTTCAGAGAATATAAGTGTTTAGTCTTATTCAGTATACATTGTAGTCCTATACAGAAGAGCTTCTTGCAATCCTTTCTAGAGGAGATTCCCATTGATTTTAAAAAACAAAGCAGAAACACTGAACAAGTTCTATCACAAAATTCTCTCAGAAATAACCTTCCTCCTGCAGCAACTCTCTTCATCACTAAATCAAAGGGCAACTGAAAAGGCACAGACAACTGCTAAAATCAAAACGTAGCACCACCACCTATATATCTAGAGTCTCTGGATTTTATTCTGCTACTACCAGAACAAGTTCCTACATACATATCACATATGCAAACCCTGCTTTTGGTCAAATATGTAATCTTAAGCCAAGTAAACACGCCTACATCTATTAGTGATAGAGAAAGGTATACAAAACAAGTCACTTATGATGGATGTGACAGGATGGAGATGACTATCAGAATGTGGATGAGTTCACATAGAATAGGCAGTTAACTTACAGTTAGATGAGTGATGCACGCAGCAGAATGTACAAGATAAAACACCGGATTACACTAATTACTACAACCCTTTTGCTCTGTTAGATATCTGAGTCTGCTTGCACGGATGATGGCATGAAATTTTTTACTACAGACTCTCCTGTTCTCCATCCCCTCCAGTGCCACGCTCCAAGCAACAAAAACAGGCATGGTAGGAGCAACAAGCAGTTGCAGTTCTGTGCCATCCTACTAGGCATACAGCTTTGAAATACCACACGATGACAGTGGACTTAATTCATTCCCACCACACCAGCATGAAGCCAGCACATCTTTATCACACACATGGGAGTTAAACTGAAGCAATAGAGCAGTGCACCCAGACCAATATGTTGACAAATTCAACTAAATCACATCATTACAGAAGTCAGAAATAGTCTTCCCTGTTGCAAAAAGCCACCTGCATGGTTTCCCATTGAAATTAGAAGCACTCTCTGGCTGTGGCCAATGCTAGTTTTGCAGTCTTTGTACTTTGATAAGTTATTGCTCTTGTCAGCAAAGAGAGAAGCACAACATGGTACAAGTCATGATGACAAATGACAGCGGGTGCAGAGATGCAACAGACAGATCAAGAGCCAAGCACTTGAGAACAAATTTTAGTACTACAGATTCAGACAATAGCATTTAGTCTAGCTCCTGAACTGCTGCTGCACAGCTGAGTGAAGCCCTGCCTTTGCATAAGTAAAAGGTACTGCTCCCATCAGTTTCAGGATTTCAACTGGGTAGTAGAAAACCTAGCAATCTTCCTGCCTGCAAGAGTCAGAGGAGGAATGACAGATCTCCTAAATCACTTGGCCCTAAACAGAAAGCCAACAGGTATTATGTATGAGACATGAAATGCCAGCATCAGCCACAGCTGTTGAAACAATAACTGGTAGTGTTAGTTCTCCATTAGGGAACCTAATTACTTACAGCCCCTTTGCAGTAGAGACGTAGCTGTCCTGCTGGAGTTCGAACAATCACTGACATTCTCTTCCTGTTGCTATTGAAAGAAAAATATTTGCTTTCATTAGTCATAGTGATGACAAGTCAGTCCTGTTCTAGTCAGTGAATTTTCTCAGATGTGCTTAGTGCATCTCCGATCAGGCGAGATGTAACAGCAGTAACTTAAGGCCCCACAATCCTTGACAGCAAGGAGAAATACTAAAATGTCCATTTCCAGCTTCTGCCCTGTGGCTCCCCTGGTGAGCACTCAACCAGAACACAGACTTGCACCCAAATGGGAGCAAGATGGCACAGAAATCCTCTTTAAAGAAGGGGAGTCACATTTATTCTCAACTTTTTGTTATTCCTCAGGCAAAATGGTTTTGGGGACTCAGGCTAGAAACTGAATCGTTAAGGCTGAATGCATATTTACTATAGGCATAATAGACCTTGAAATAAACACCCACTGATGGGGCAATTATTTAACTTCCCAACTCAAAAGAACACAGAAATGTCATAAAAAGGAATCATGCTATAGACCAGCTCTTAACCTCCCTAACGGTTCTTCAGATAGGTCTAATCAGACCTGTGTAGTCAGGATTACATAGAACAAAGTCAGACCCTCTGAGCAGGGCTGCATATCAAGACAGTCAAGTTTGGGACATTTTTAAAATAAAGGTAAAGAATAGCATACTGTACACAGATATTTAACAAAAGAAAGTAGGCAAGGATTTTTTTTTTTTTTTTTTTTTTTTTTTTTTTTTTTTTTTTTTTAAGATCAATTCTAGCATTTCACTTATCTCTCCTTTAAAAGAGCCACTGGAAAAAAATGTAGCTTGTAAGAAGCAGAGGCAAGCAAATCAACTAACTCTCAAGAGAACCCTAAGAACAGGTGGTTTCATATTCAACAGAAGTTATCTGTATCTAGAATTCTCTTCCTTAGCAAAAGGAGAACTCTGAAGCATCCTCATTCCCTTCTTGCAAATATGTACAAACAGATCAGAGCATAGAGCAATCTTCCTCTTCCTCCTCTGAAGTTCCTCTGGGACATTTAACCCCTTTTCAGGGTTCAAGAGCCATGTGCAAGAAAGTAAGCTCTTGGCATGTATAATCAGACAAAACAATCCTTTCTGAGCCTTTCTAAAGTCTGGAAGGACAGCAGTTAGCTGTACTCAGAATTTCTGTAGCAAACTAATGACACTGGGAAACTTCCTTGAGCTTTTTAAAATCTAATTACAGGAACTCCCTTACTGGTCAAGTGGGAAGTTGCTGCACCCAGGGAAGAGCTAAGACAGCTTTTCTGCTGCGTTCAGGCTACAGCTGATCCTGTCTACAGGCACTGGGGTACTGGTCAACTTGTCAGAAACCCTAAAAGACTTTTGTAGTACCTTTTTACATATTCCCACAAGTAGCCTAAGTAGCTACGTTCTGAATGAAAAGGGGAAAGTAGTCAAGAGTAATCTTCAAAGCAAGACAGGAGACAAGAAAAGCTGCCTACCCATATCTTCCCTGACTTCACTTTTATATACTCCTTTAAAACAGAAGCAGCCAACTCAAAGACAGCAAAGAACGAGATTTCAAGGCTTCAAGCCACAGTAAGACAGCAGAAAAGCCTGCTGACTAGCACCACCCAAACTGACAAAACTTTATCAATCGACAAAGAGAAAGCACCTTTTATCGTCACCAGTGATCAGGGGCCTGATTCATCACACAAAGCTTCTTGCTACCCAAGCAGCACCCACCCTAACTAGCCTGACAAGTTAGGAGTGCTTGCAAGGTTTAGTTTTTCATAGCTGGAGTGGTTCTTAGAAAGGGGCACCAAAAAGCCCTCCAGTTGTAAATTACTTTTTTTGAGTAAGTGGAATTTACAGAAGCACTATATAAGCACAATCTCAATCTCAAAGCATGTTCTTAAAGTAAACAAGTGACACATCAGGAGATCAATGAGGCAGAGAATGACACTTTCAGGGCACCAACTTTTCAATAAGCCAACAGAGCTGGAGTGGCAGGAGAGGGCCACACGCTCACATGCCAACAGCCACCAGTTTGTAAGAAGCTCTGTATACACTGGAAAAAAGAAGATGAAGGGGCAGGACAAAATTAAGGAAGTTCAGCTTTCCTACTGCATCAGCTGAATCTTTCTATTCTTAATAATATATTTACAAAAATTATTTTCTTGTTACCCTGCATTTAATATATTGGAGGAAAACTTACCTGGAGAACTCCAACACATTGAGAATTTCAAAGGTTTTTTCTTTTCCCAGCTACAAAAGAAAGCATGTACTATTTTAAGTATAATTTGCAGCATATTCTTACATTTGTAAACATGCAAGTTGGTTAAACCCCTTTGTTTACACAACCCCGTGTAAATAAAGTGTGGTGATAGCTCCCTCTCCTGGTAAAAGTGATGTAGAGCCCTATTTAATGAAGGCATTCTAATGTTATTTGAATGTCTAATACTGTAGCATCCTCTATTTACTGTTTTTACACCATTTCAAGGAACTAAGATCCTACTCTAGACAGGTAAGCATGCTCTGAAAGTTAAGCTGTACACTTACTTCTTGATAGCTATCAACTAAGAGACACATTACAGACAGTGAGCATTATTCCAGGTTAAATAAACCCACCATCCAGATTTGGTATTACAATAACCTTTGTTTGAATTGCCTTAGTATTTCTTTTACTTGAATCTACAAGCATATTAGAAGGTATTTTTTGTGGCAAAAAAATGGTTAACAGAGGAGTAATTCCTGTTATCACCAACAACTGTTTGCTGGGATTGAGCATGAGCAACCTGAGGAGAGAAAAGGATTTAGAAATGCCTTGTCTTTGCCATTCCTGTAGTATAACAGATAATAGGACCAGTGGAGTTACTGGAGTCTCAGAACTCCAATAGTATTTGCAGCACATGGCTAAAGAAAGGGGCTGTAACAAAAATATAATTGCAATACAGAGTTATGTCCTATGAGGTACACATCAATTCAGCAATAGCCCCAAGGCCAAAAGCCATCTCCAGCCCACATTACATGTACTGCCACAGATGTGGGCAATGAAGAGAGACAGGAACCTCTGGGAGTGACAGCTTTTATTGCTGGCTGTAGACTGACCATGCTCCCAGCTTGGCATGCATGAGAAGTACATAACTAGGTCAGGTGGGCCTGGGTTTTCCTGCAGAGGAGAGAAGAGCCTAGACAGCTCTCAATTAAACCGCTCATCGTAAGCCCTTCCCCTTAAAATAAGCAGCAGTTTTCTGAGCAGTTGTAGAAAGTATGTGACAAGCCCTAGAAAGATGTATGTTTTATGTGCTTAGCCTGGCAGTGCACCAAGAAACTTGAAAGTGAATGCACCTGAGAGGAAGGACAAAAATACATCCATTATTCTTAATAAGCACCCTACTACCCATACCAGAGACAAAGTTCTCACCTTAGTTGCACCTCTGTAAATCTGAATCCACTTTAGCTTAGACTACAACTTAAGTCAGAATGTGTCCCCATGAGTTTGAGACTGCCTGTGTCAACTCTAACCTGTTAACTACACACCCTTGCATAGAGAGCTTGTTAAAAGCAGATATATCTTCTGTAGAAGATCTTAACTCAGGAGAAAAATTCCACTTTAATACAAGAAATCAACCATTTAGAAGTACAGAAACCATTAAACATTAACAGAAAATCTGCCAGACACATGGACTTCCTTCTGACGTGAGTGTGCTCATTTGTGCTTCCCAGAGAAGGGAATATTCTTCAGGCACAACTGCTGTCATTTCCCATGTAAGCTTGCAACTTCCTATTGCCCGTGTCACACAGAAGGGCAGAGGATGAGACAACTTTTCCCAGTCTGCAAAAGCCTTTTGCATGTAGTGTCCTAAAGGCCCTGTAAAAAGGAACTCACAAGAACCACACGGGAGACATTTACGCTCTGCACGAGCTCGGCAGTCTGTGCTGTGCACAGCTACTACTTACCGCATCAATGATAACCGAATGTGGAGTCCGTCCTGTGAAGACATAACCAAGTTTTTTTGCTCCTTTCACTAATGCCCCTTCATCTGCCAATACAAGAAAAGTTTAAATTTCTTTCGGTATGTAGAACCAGCCTGCAAAGCGCATACTTAAATATGCCGCAGTGCCAAAACAGAGAAGCCCCCTCTCCCCACATCTGTAGGGCTGCTGGAGTAGCTCTGCCTACACTTCCACAAGAACATCCATGTTTTAGTACTACAAAGGCCATGTAATATCAGCTACACAAATTTCATACTCAATCTGTTAAAACCTCCTGTAACTACTGAAGCATTAAACTCTAATGTTGTGGAGGAGTCATGCTTTTCTACATGAAAAAGTGGAAATACCTGTTCTGAAAGCAAGATCAAAGCTGTGTTACTCTGAACTCCTACAACATACATTTAATCCATTTCCTGCTGTAAAGGCACTAAGTTCAGGTGCCACAGAGGTACAGTGTTGTTTTCTGGAAACTGAACTGAGTGATGTCACTGAGAGCTCAAATAACCGAGCTGAAACCAGAGCCAACACCTCTTCCTCTACCATGTAGTTATACAGCCACATTAAGGAGCAAATGGCATTAAGCACAACCACCGTACAAGTGAATTTAGTGACCAGCTCATGGAACCCTAATGTCTCTACAGCTCCTTTGGTCTCCTCACAGCTCATCAACACTGACTAGAGCTGCCTTGCTCACCTGACCCTTCAGACACTTTATTAAGACAAGCAGAAAAGCTGCTGCTTTATCAGTCAATACCTCATTACAACAATTCTAGAAATATCCTCAGAAATGGAGATAAATTTGACAGGGAGCAGGGCCCGACTGCTCTGCATTTTGGTCCTGCCTACCTCTTTCAGTACCACTGTGCTACCTGAAATGAGGAGGAGACAGGTGAAGGGCAGGCCCAAACATGGCCAAGACTCTGCCCTTTGTTGTACTGTGTCATGTACCAGCCCTCTTGTAACTACATAAAGTACATGGGAAGCTACTAGATCAAGACAGTTTGCACTTGTGCCAAACAAAGCAGTAACTATTCATGCAAAAACGAAGGAGTACTTCCACAGGTCAGCTCTATGTAGGGAAGACAAGTCACAAAGTTTTACTTTTGCTTTTCACCCCTGCAGAAAGAGGCCAGAGTCTCAGGAGACAGAAGGGATCATAAGCTTAGCCTAACTCTACAGAAACATCATGGATTTGGCAGTTTTGTAGGAGGCATTCAAAAGCAGTACGCACTGGTGACAGAAAATGCCAGATCTACTGCTAGCATCATGGAGAACATCTTTTAAAAATCAGTGACCTTTTCAGGAATTTTTGGACTTCCCTTTCACCCCCATCCATCCAATTCTACTCCCTCACTCCTGCCCTCCCCCAAAAGATAGCAACAACCAACCTGGAGAGGAGGCCTGGTAGATTATTGTATTTCCTTGTCTCTCAGGAACAACGGTATGACACACGGCCAGCAGAGTGAGGAACTCCTGTATGTGCACAGCTGTGGGCTAGGCAGGACATTAGGAGAGTCAGGTTTAGTACCACATACAGACTGAGATGCAGCCGTTCACCAACCTGAGAAGGCCTCTTAGGTACCACAGTTTAAAAAGAAATAAATCTTTTTCTCTATTTATAATAGTAGTCTTGATCCCAGAACATCAAGTAGAGTAAAGGGCCAGCATTAATGAACTAGAGTACTAACAATAAAGACCTCACTTAAGCTGCAAAGAGCTGAGAAACCAGATTATCCCCCCACCCTCCCAAATCCAAAAGCATTAGTTTTGGAGCACCCCAAACTTCATATAGGCAAAGGTATCTGCCACAAGATGATGATAATCAAGCAACAGGAAATACTACTTTGGTAGCTTCTACAACAGCTTGCAATGGATAGACAGTAACCACACCAGATTTAAACTCATTGCAGCTGCACACTTAGAGATGAACATCCAAAGCTGACCGCAGCAGATGAGCCAGTAGAAGGCAACACCATGTGCTCTTTCACAGAAATGTATCACCCAGCCAAGCAGAAATTTGATCAATGGTCCATACACAGTCAGCATCATGAAAAGACACAATACAAAACATTGTTCACAGGCTGCACATTCACTAGCCATCCCAAAGTGCTTAAAGAGACACCAGGGTCTACAACTTTATGAAGATGCTACGCCACTTAAATCACAGGGTCTGATCAGCAGATTCTGGCAACTGTAACTATAACGACTTGAAATGGAGTCCCCCATCCCATTCGTCCCTCCTTTCCAGCCCTGCCTCTGGCACAGCACTTCCAGTCTCACAGCAGTCAGGAATGGCACTCACCCGCCCAGCTCACAACCTGCCATACTAACCTCAGCCACGTTTCACAAAGATCTTTAAGACGCTTGGCTGAAACAGCTGAAGTGAACACGTTCCCCTTCACCAACTTTGCTATATCCATAACATCCACAGTTGGCAGCATCAAAATCTTACATCACAGCAACCGTTTGCTCATTGACTAAGTCAGACATGAACCTTCACAGAAAGGCTTAGCTGACTCCGCAAACTGTCGCAGAATTTTTGCATATGAAAATATCATCTAGTTTCCAAAGTTTTCATTAGCATCGCATATTCTATAGATATACACTCTGTCTTAATAGACCCACTACAAAATCAAGAGCCTAAGAGCTGTTAGCACAAGGTCAGGCTGAAACCCCACTATCATAGTATTAAACCCAGTGTCAGATCACAGAATGGCAGGGGTTGGAAAGGACCTCCAGAGATCATCCAGTCCAACCCCTCTGCTCAAGCAGGGTCACCCAGAGCAGGTTGCACAGGTCATCATCCAGGCAGGCTTTGAATATCTCCAGAGAAGGAGACTCCACAACCCCCCCCGGGCAGCCTGTTCCAGGGCTCTGTCACCCTCAAAGCGAAGAAGTTCTTCCTCACATTCACCTGGAAGCTCTTCTGCTTCAATTTGTGCCCATTGCCCCTTGTCCTGTTGCTGGGCACCACTGAGAAGAGTCTGGCTCCATCCTCACGACATCCACCTTTAAGATATTTGTAAGTCCTTACGAGATCCCCTCTCAGTCTTCTCCAGGCTAAACAAGCCCAGCTCCCTCAGCCTTTCCTCATACGAGAGATGCTCCAGTCCCCTAAGCATATGGAATCATATCAGATGGAAAAGAATCCTACAAGACTTTTAGTAAAACAGAATCCAGGGTTTTTTTAAAACATTTAGAAGATGCTTCTATCCAATTTATTATGCTAGTGTACACCAGAATGTTTCACAACAGAAAGAAGGCCACAATGTTCAAGTGAAACTTTTTCAAGTAAAAACTACCATCTTGGTTTAACCCCAGTCGGCACCTAAGCACCACAAAAAAAACCCTCTGATGCAAGAGATTTTTATTACATGTACTTTTCCAAGAGTATATGCAGTACTAGTATCTGAAATGCAGCACACAGCTACTTTACAAAACCCTTCAATGACAGAACTACTGAGACATTAAAGACTCCTCCATCTCCCACTTAGAGGGGCACTTCAAATGCAACTTCTCACAAGCTGGCCAGCAGCATTCACAACTGGCTCTCAGATATGTTTATGCTTCTCACCCAAAGCAAAGGAAGCTATGTGACAAAAAGTTTTCTTCTACCTCAGGTCCTATTTCAGGGACAAGAACAAGAGGGTTTAGGGTTTTTTTCCCCAATATGGTGCACCTAGCCTACGTATTTGTACAAGAGAAAGATGCACTGGCAATAGCAAGGTTTAATTAGTAGGAAGTAAATTCCTATGAAAGCCAAAAATGTCAGCTGGCAAATGCTGTGTTAACATGTATAAACAAAAAATAAGCATATCAGAAAAAGGTGTAGTAAAAAGACTGCAGATCCAGTACTTATATTCTTGTTTTACTTCATTTACTTTGTTATGAATATTTTTATTAGTAACCGTTTCACACAGGACCTTTATCTTTGCATACCGAAACTTCTGAATTGTATGGTCACAAGCCACTAACATAACAACAGTTGTAGCTTTTCACATGCTGGAGTGCAAAGGCTGTATTCAAGAAAATGAATAGATAGAATATAATCAGAGTAGTGTGTGAAATGTTAAGTCCACAGCAAATTACTGGTCAGAAGGTTACTGCTGCTCTGCTATTTCTAGTGAAAGCACTGAAAGTTTTATCTCCATCTCAAAATGCATAGCCTGCCAGATTCTCATTTCAGCATCCATTGCTGCAGACCTTTGAAGTCCTTCTTCACATGTATCATCTAGCCCCTTACACGCTTTCATAGCATATGTTCGATCAGCTGGAAATGACCCGTCTCCGGTAATGTCATAGATTTTAATCCTGCCTACATATATATTTCTGCTTTCAAGCCAGCAATGTAATTTGTTGGTGTCCTGGTATTTTCACAGCTCACAATGTATTAGATGGCAATCTTCCAATTCTGTAACAACAGATCACCAGCAGCCCAGCTTATGTCAGCTCCTCCACACAGCTGTCCTTTGTTTCCTTTCTATATTGTTCCAGCACTGACACAATATTTGTTGCACTGGCATGAATCAGGATAGAGCATTCCAATTCCTACTTTTAGAGCTGTGAACAGAAAACTTCATTGATAGTTTCTGTGGTGATACATCCCTTACACCATGCCAAGTTTAACCCCAGCATAAGACAGAAGTCCCTCCGGTTAACTGATTCTACTTTATTACTTATTTTGCTCTTTTAAAGCAAATTCTGCCATTGTAGTACTCAAATTCTTACTGACAGTCTCTGGGAGGCATTCCTTGTCTGCTCATTCACTAAGCTCAGCTCTGTTTCTTCTCACCCCATTTCTTCCTTCTCTGTTTATTTTGGCAGGAACACAGTTTGCTTCTTTTAGCCTCTTGTTCACCTGTCCACAGGCAGCTCTCATTCCAAGGGCCTCCTCCCCCCATTTTTCTCGATGTGCCAACAGCTCTGGGTGAAACCTATTGCTTCTCTTTCTCTATGTGTTTTCCAAAGATCCACGGAACACCTGGTGTACAGCCACCTACACCAGCAATATACCCCACTGGCTGAACTTACTTTGCATGCTGCCCCCACCAAGAACTACAGGCACACTGAGACAGTCTCCTATTTCTGGAAGCAGTCCCTGGATCCTTATTTACAAAGTATTGCCTACACTGAAAGCAAAGTTTCCCTATCTAGAAGGCACAGCATTACCCATTATCAAGCAGGGCACAGACCACTGGTCAGCAAGCTATATCAGAAGTTTTTATCCCTTTGTGTTCTCCCTTATTCAAAGGGAACAAAACACCAAGTTGAAACTCTGTCTTTTGGGAAGCAAGCTGCACTCTGCAGAGCTACACATCTGCACAGCTACACATCTGCACATTTTTCACGTATGTCCTTATCTGGGCCTCTTCATTCTGAAGGCAGAAACTGTGTTACTCTAGCCAACTGTTCACAGCCTGATAAAATTACAAAGAAGTTGCAGGTAAAGTTATTTATTCACCTTTCCTTTTACTTGCAGCAGAATCAGATCAATGCCTCCATTCACAATATTTCCAGATGAGCAGGACTGACAGGTTTTTGAGCAAATAGCCTAGAAATGGCCAATGGGATATTAAGGCACAGTCACAGCTTGAGCTTACTACTTTGTGTAAGAGTGGCATATTCTGCCAAGGACAGCTAGTAAAATACTTATCCATTTCATTACCAGGAAGAATTATGACTCACCGTATTAAAGATGTGAACTTCCTACTGTTTTGTTCATTAAAAATACCTGGAGAACAGTGTCAGGATCCAGCCATGTTGGGCTTCTCTAGAAGAGTGAAGCAGGTAAGGCTGGATGGAATCAGGATATTTCAGGCACAGATTCAAGAACACATTAAGTCTATTGATGTTCAAATGCTGGTTAAATGCAAGTTTGTCTTGTCCAAAGCCACTGAAATATGGCCTACAATAAAGATACTGCCTTGCACTTGAGCAAAAGAGAAATACCAAAATCCCATGCACAATAAGGGCAAAAGCAGAAGAGTGAAAAATATTTCTCACCAAGCTATAACAATTTAATTGTTAGCTGTAAAACGATATGTTTGGACAGTTTTCAGGCAACAGTTGCTTTCTGAACTAAAGCCTCCCAGATGTTCTCACCACCTGAAAGTATTTTCCCCTTACTGTATTTTAAATTCCATTTTTTCATTCCAGTAGTGATATGCTTTTCACATTCTGCTTTCCTAAGGAATTACGAATCAGCTGATGATAGCGGTCATTTCAAAGTCTGACAGGATAAAAGCCTCAGTTCCCACACACTTCATGACAATAAGCAGACATGTTGGAGAGATCTAAACAAACACTTTCACTGAGGTAAAGGCTCAACACGAGCATCACAGTTGTCCGTTCTGCTTGGCCAGCTGCTTAACTACTCACCACACATACTCACTGAATCAACTCATGCATCTGCAGCTATTAGACATGCTTGCTGCTTCTTGCCTAAGCAGTAATTTGCAGGCCACAGAAGAGAGTTTATATGCAGACTGGAATTAGTAGAGGAAGTTCAGAGAGAATCCAGGGAGATAACAGAGAAGTCTAGGATGAGATCCAAGATTATTAGTTCTTTCACTTGACCTCCTTCCCTGCACTCCTATCAGGGTAAAAAATAACCCCACACCAAACAGACTTCCATCTCCACGATGAGTTTATTTGCAGCACATGTGCAACTTGCAAGCACCAAGATAAAGATCACCTAGTGTATTCACCAACCTTTCTTTTCAGATTTTGGAAATAACTGATCTTTTAGTCTAACAAGAGTTTACACCATTTTCCCTATAGAAACAAGTCAGCATCATACTCCTGGTGCTGCTGCACAGTTCATCCAACAGAAGCTGTTACAAAGAAAAAGCATATGCAGACAAACCTAGGTATTTTCTTCCATATTAAAATCCCAGAGAAGTCAAGAGAAACCTCCACGCATTTTCAAGACAAGTTATTTTTCCTTGGAACACTTCCTGCAGAGCAATAATTCTTTGACTGTTTCTCAAGAGTGGATTTGGCCATCAGTCAGTCCTCACACACCAGTGGCCCAGAAGAGCTATGAAATTTAGAGGTAACGCAGGATGCTAAAAATCTTCCTAGCAGATGGAAAACAGTCTCATGAGGACAAGTACATTGTTTTTTTATTTTCAACCTGGAAAGAAAATTACTTGGCACTGAGACAGCTCTACATTAATACTTGTGACTGGATTGAAAAAAATAAAATCTTCAAGACCAGAGCAATGAGCACTTAGTGAGCATTTGTGAGAGACAGCACATTGACAGCTTTAGCTGCAAAAGGGCAAATGTTTAAAGGGGATTCATTGCCAGCTGAGTACAGCACCACCTGACCCCACAAGGCAGCCTGTGCTAGAACACTGCAGTCTTACCACCTCAGTTCACTAAATGAGTAGAGATTGTCAGACATCTGTAAACAGCATCTGCAGCTATCTAGTAGCTATGAAAACTAGGACACTAAGGAGTTTCAGGTAGAAGGAAGCAGTTTATGCGCCTTAACAGCTGACCTAATGCAAGAAGTTCATGGGATAGAAACATGCAACTCTTTCTTCTCCCACTGCCCTGTAATCCAGCCCTCATCTCACTGATGCAGTGTGACAAATAGATCTGAACTTCCTAAGCAAACTGTCACACATAACCCTTGCACTCCTGTGTCTTGTGCTAAATCACCACTTTTCAGTGGGTAGCAATCCATTCCCTCAAGTACAGTCAGGCTCTAAAAAGATATCTTTCGCCTACACAAGGTACACCTTAACTCTCATCAGCCAGAAGTTTCCCCACTGATTGTCCAAGGGCAGAGTTCACACAGTGCGCTCAGCCCAACAGTCAGCTGTGCAATGACAACAGTATTTATCTGTTCAAGTTGCCAGCCAAAAGGAAACTTGATGCATAACGGTTCAACACGTAAAGAACAAAGACTTCTGAGCTGTCTAGACTGACACCTAAGGAAGCTACCAAAACCCTCTATTTGCCTGCTATAACAACAAGTATTCCTTTTATCTCCCAAAGCAGAAGCTCTACCCAGAGAAGATCAAATTAGAGATATCCCAAAGTCAAGGAGCCATCTCAAGACTAGATGAGAAGGTCCATCTCACAGCCCATTTGATGTGTGTCTCTTCTGCTCAGTCTATTAAAACATACCAAAGCACTTTTCTGTACAGATGCCTAAAGCAACAGCCAGTGAGGAAGAGCTCAGACAGGTTTTATCTGTAGCCTGCACCTAAAGCAGTAGCCTTCCATTCAGAATGAGTACCTGGAGTCAGCAACTGCCATAGACCATACTGCAGCTATATGTAAACAAAAAGAACACAGAAGAACAGAAGGCAACCCAAATCTTGGCTGCAAGTGATGAGCAGTGGGAAGTCCTTCCAGTGCAATATTACAAAAGCCACACAGAAAGCCAGTACATTGTCCTGGCAGAGCCACCATCCTGAAGATTAGAGCTCAGGAGCCATCTTCTGGCTCTATCTTCCTGAGGAATAGGTAGTGACATACAGAATAATTAAATATTCCAACAGGGATTTATACCATGCTGCATTTCAACTTCTCAGGTACTAGAATGCAAAACAGAAAGCAAAGCTTTGCTGCATGCAAACAGTATGTTGTAACTATATTTTAGATGCTCATACTAAACCAGCCCAGTAACAGAAGTTACACTGACTAAGGAGAGGAATCAGCTAATCAAATTTGTCATTTGAGTTTGTGCTTGCCAATACTCAGATACCATACTGTGATACAGCTTCTGCAGAATAGAAGGGTCATATTTTTTGCAAGTGACTTAAATAGTCTGCTGTCTAGTCAGACACTTCATAGCAGCATGGTTTCTGAAGAAGCAATGAACTGATACTCTCCTAAGGGCTAGGTCCCTTTAGGACACAATCAATTAGGCTAGTATTACTGATCACTAAGTCTCAAGCTAAGCTTAAGCTTGCAATTAAGTCCCATCTCTTATATCCTTTATGCAACTGGAATTCTCAAAACTTGCAGTATTTAAAGCAGGTTCTCACCAGAACCACCTTGCAATGCCCTGGATTAGTTAAAAATAGTATTTCCACAGCATGGATGTTTGAACACTCCATGTAGTTTTTATTTTAAAGGATTACCTTTTCTACCATCATTTGCACTATAGGATGCTATCTTCCATATACACTAGCATACATGAAGCTGGTTTACAGATAGCTGGTACCCATATCTATATCATTGGTTCTTTAACTCAGTAGTAAGACAAATGGGCAGAAAGGGGCTGGGGGAGCTATTTTGTTTCCTTTTTCCCCCCACTCTCTGCTTGCATCTGTGGTTGCATGACACACCCCTAGCACAGACTTGCTCAGTAGATTTGTTTAGCATTCAATTCCGGAGAGGCCTAGAATAGGGTGTTTAAGAGACACGATTTTCAAAGAGTAGACTTACATGGTCATTTTCAATGTTTTGCAGCAGTCTTGGGTCATCAAATTCACACGATTCACTGGTGGAAGGAGGTAGCTGGCTGCAAAGCAAGACAAGCATATGCAAACATAACAGTGGCAACACTTCCAATCTCACTACTTCATCTATTGGAAAGCAAAGGAAAAACAAAGTAAGATTCCACTGTCCTTGAAAATATTGTGAAAAGATCACGTACGTGATGCACAAAGCGCTGGAAATGAGCAACAATTTCTTCAGAACACCAGCAAGAAACCCAAAATGGTTATGCCTAAAAGTGTATTTGAGAAGACTGTAGTGTCAACACACTTCCTAGGACAGATGTAGCAGAAACAGCTTTTAAGTGTACTTGAAATACATTGATTTCAAGGTGAGTGGCTTTTAAGATAGGACAAAGAGCAATATCCCTAAGCTCCCTCTCTAGTCTGTCAGCTCTGATTCAGGTTGATCACTGGAGGATTTTAAGCTTGAGTGCTCCAAATTAGTACCTAGAAGAAACTCTTGCACAGAACTGACTAAAAAAAAGCAGCATACAAGAAGAGAAAAGATGGCAGTGAAGGAAACAACAACATAGTTGAAGAGAGTCATCCATAGAAATTACATCTCAGACAAAGCAGCAACATACCGTATCATGTCACCTTCTTAAAAGGTGATCATATAAATGAGATGGACCCAACTTAGTTCATCAGAAAGTGGTTAACAGCATTCATCACCTACCCGTTTCTTGGGTGGGAACTCACTTCTTACCTATATTTGCCAAAGCTACATCAGCCCTCTCTGGCTCTTCCCCCTTTCCTATTAATCTGAATATGCTACAGTGAAACCTGTGTAACAATTCCAGGTTTTCACTCTTTTCTGTAGAACAGGACAGACCCATCACCTCTATTCATTAAACCTCTAAATAAAGACAGGTGATTCTCTTGACATGAGACACCGCCATAGCAAGCTTTTTCCCAGTTTAATAAAGAAGTTTCTTTTCTTCTCCTTGTCAGGCTTAGTGAACTTAGTGATTGCAAAGAGTAACATTTGGTCTCTAGCTAGAGGTAAGGTTACTGTAAAGAAGGTTACTCTTGGCTTGTAACTTGGTTGTCTGCAATTATAAATAAGCACTGCATTAGCATGCATCCAGGCCACCCCAGCCACTGCCTATCCCTCATTCCCCTTCACCCACCACCTCTCCATGCAGAAGAGAAGACCCATCACCACCCACCAGCTCTGCATTAGGCTCCTGCTGGAAGAGTATTTTACTCAAACACATTGCTCCTTTGGGCTTCTTCCAGTCCCAAATTGGAAAGCAGTCTTTATATAGATTGTCCCCACTCTACTATACAGAAACAAATATCTTAGAATATATTTACCTAAAATCTTCTGATGAACGTTCTCTTTCTAGCTCAGGAAAGTGACTGAGGGGTTGAAAAAGGAAAAAAACATTTATCCCACTTTGCAAACAAAAAAAATAGGTAGATGGTGAAGATCAATGAGTCATCACACAAACAAACAAATGCTGGAACCACAGGTTCTGCTGTTCATACATTTTAACTAAGTTTTCTGCCTTCTGAGGTATCTAATTTATCTACCATGAAACTCAAAGATTAAGTTGCACAGAGATCTTAACAATTACCCATTTAAAACTAATCAAAGATTTCGCATTCAAGACTCAAAAGGCCAAATGGTATGAAATATTGGCATGATCCAAAGGGATCCTTTTAACAGAAACAGAACAAAACCAGTTAAGAGGGTATCCCTCCCATGCAAGGAATATTTAACCCTACAATTACAGCTAGATGGTTGTAATGAAATCCTGGTTCATCTGAAGAAGTCACAGGAACATGACTGGCAATTGCTACCTCTGGGCAGCATCTTCTTCCCTCTGGAAAGGCCAGAGGTTATTTAGCACTTCTGGTTTAGTTCAAATCATGATCACGTAAGTTAGGAACTGAGTAATTATTTCTTTCCTTTATGTAGACTACTCTTCCCCCCCCCCAGGTTTGCATTTCATAATCTGTGTTGCAGGACATGAAAATGAAAGCTAGTAACTGACCACAAAATATACTAAAACACAAATTGAAGAACAGAATGTTCTAATCCTGCCCTGATATATAAGTATGTACCATTAATAAGCACATATTAAGCTATAAAGTTTCTAAAAAAAGTCATACCTACCCATATGTCACTCCAGCAATACTACATTTCTTAAAGTTCATGATATTGCATGTTAGAGTACCCGTTTTATCAGAAAACAGGTATTTTACCTGGAAGAAAACAACAACAACAACAACATCTAATTTTCAACTTGCAAAAGTAACAAAACTCAAAGTGGAAAACAGTTTAAATATCAGGAAAACTCTGGGAAACATATGGCTCAAATGTCATGTTATTGGCCATGCAGGCTTATTACAGCTTGGTTTGTCTCACTAAAGCTACAGGAAGGTAATCAGGAAAGTTATTTAATGAAATTATTTCTCCTTTATTTCTAAATGCAGCAAGGCTCAAATAGTAGGTATCAATTGCCAAGGCTCCTGTGTGGTCAATACAGATGTACTTGCTTGTGCTAGCTGAACATGCACCAAATCTTTCAACTGTACTACCAAACAGCAAGACTGGAAATTAAAACAAAGACTCTTAAGACTATTGAGGAATCATTAGAATATAACACACTGAAGAAATTCTGTCTTCCAAACCACCAGGAACTTGCTTGATGTCTTTTCCCCATAAAGAGTACTGTGCAAGGAATGTCCTAGAGTAAGTCCAAGTGGTTCAGCAAGAAAACAAACTGCTTTTTCTGGTACCCAGTCATGAGCAGTCCTGAAGCGCAAGGTGCACAGCCACAGTCAGCAATGACCAAGCTAATAAACCCTTAACAAAAACCACCAGCTTTCACCTAGAACTTGGAGATAACACCAACACAGCAACATGACCACTCGGAGCATTAGGAGAGTCAAGATACCCACCTGTAGTAGGCTACAAGAAACCAAAATTAATTGCAAGCTATACACCACACTGTTTCACCTCTGCACCAGGTAAGACTTTAAACCAGCAACAGGTAGGAGGGGATGGTGCTAACATAGGAATTAGCCAATTTAAAAAACAGAATATTTTGCCTAGAGTTGCAAAAAGCTTTTACTTAATTATTTGCAATTCAGTTACAAGACAGTGAGCTACAAGACTAGTTAAGTGATCCTTCAGCTGTGTACTACACTGCTTCTGAATACAGCATTGACTGCTAACTTGCACAGACTCCATTTCCAAAGTGGGTACCCAAACATCTGAGCAACTGGAAGTCTTTAATAATTCTAGCAGATAACAAAATTTTAAAATGTACTGAATTCAAAAATTCAGTCCATTATATCGAATCAACAGTAAGCCATTTCTGAAAACATATAGGCCAACAATATACATTAGGCCATGTAACATAGTTTATTTCAGACAAAACCACTACCATAATTTGGAGGTTGGTAACTTTACATCAAAGCAATCTAAATCCGAATCAAAGAAAAAGGCCAATCAGATTAAGCAGGAAGAATATTGACTACCACCCTGCCAAGCAGCACACAATTATGTATTTTGCATACATAAACATTGTCTCCAACACTAAATTCACATGAATTACAAAGTTCATGTGGTTCAGTTACACACCTATGACTTTGGTGGTCAAGGAAAAAAACTGGGATTTCTCAATGGTACTACAAAATTCCAATGGCAATGTTATGTTTTCCAGTAACCTTATCTGGGGAAGCCCTTCCATTTTGAAAAATCCCACTTGCAGAATTTAACAAGTTTCTTACCACAAGTACAAATTAATACAGCTATCTTTACTTGAAAGGAAAATGGAAATGCTTGAAGGAACACAATCTAAATTAGAAATAGAACTGCATTTTTTTACTTGCATTTCCTGTGAGGTGGTCAGAACGTGAAGAACTAAGAACACAGGCTGAGGCTACTGGCCTAGTCTTCAGCCAAGTTTAGTTCTGTACGTTCTGTTCCTGTCTAGACAGTCACAACCACAGGGCATCTCTTGAACACCCCTGAGGAAAAAAAGTCCATTTAGAGTGAACATAAGAAATAGAGATTCAATTCCCAAACTTAAAACTGCCTAATACGACCTTGAATTTAATCCTGCAATACCTCATTATTTTACCTGTAAGACCTGGACTAATAAAAGTAAAGACGTCCCATTAACCTGAGCAACAGAATAAAGCAGATTTGTACAGCATGCTCTCATACCTTCTATCTTCGCAGAACACATCACAAACGTGACACTTAAGAAAATGTTGTCTTACCTGCCCAAGTTCCTCATTAAGGTTTGAGGTTCTGGCCATTGCAGGTGTATCTGTTTCAGGATAATACATATCTATGTCCTGAAACGAGAGCAAAATTAGACCTATGCTATGCAAATTAAACACTGAAGTCTCCAGCCTTCTTTTAGTCAGGTCCAGTGTGGCTCGATTGACTTAATTCCATTGATGGAGGTTCTGAAAGCTTGAGACACAAACAGCAGCCCAGGCTGAACAAGGTGTGTCTCCTTTCCAAAGCATACCTCCATATTACACGTACATGAGAAAAGCCAGATTCAATTATAGGTAATTATTTTCTTCATTGCATCTCTAATCTAAGATTTTAGTATAGTAGGAAGTTCTACCAGGCATCAGCCATGCTTATCATAGCTCTTTGGTTACAACAATGCAATTTACTCTAGCCACTTCCATGATTGAAGAGACAATTTAAGTGACACTGAAATCAACTCCTATTACTACATTTAATTGGGAGGGTAAACAAAACAGCTGCTACATGAACCAGAGCAATTTCTCAGATAATACAGTCAAGCATCCTCAATACACTATAAGCAGCTCAGAGAACACACACACATTAGACCTTATTTACTTGTATTTTAGAGGAACCATTACAAGTTTACTGAAAGTCCAAGGATTAATGCCTAGCGATACAAGGTATTCCTCTTGGTTTTGTTCAGCTTAAGAGACATCACCACAGTATTTTTGGTCCACAACTGACTTGAATCACACTTTGAAGTTAAAGCTTGCCTGAACAGAGGGATCACTGTTTTGTTGCGTGAGGCACCACCAACTCATCTCCCTACAGAAATACTATGATTCATACCAGAGGTCACCTTAAGGACAGCCTCAAGACTTAAAAACAGACAAAAAACCCCCAGAAAACCCCAACACACCCCCAAGCTACTGAACATGAGTCAGCTGAGAGACCTCCTTCAACCGAAAAAGTTGAGCCTGCCTTCTCATCGTGAAAGCCTAAAATATACAAGAGTGATCATTTGCACTTCCTACAACTAAATCTTTTAGTTTCCTGTGGAACACAGAACTAATACAGAATAAATCCTCTGAATTTCTCCCTGCCTTTCACAGAAGATGCATCAGAAAAGTAATAAAAATATCTGGTAAAGATTTCAGGGTGTTGTTTTGTGGTTTGTTTTTTTTTAAATGTCACTTTCCAAAACTGACGTTACTACATTTATTCTTGTTACTTACCCAATTTATAAAAAGAGCCTGAGTAAACTTGACAACTTCCAATGTCACCAGAAGACTGATTGGAATAAGGTTGTTGTACAAGATTATAAATGTCAGCAGATTGTATCCAAAGTTGACAGACAGCATTTCTGCAGACAAACAGACATAAGACATCAATAGACAGAAGGCACAAGTCTGAGCGGTACAGTATAGGGACAGTCATCTTTCTGCAGTTGGCCTGATCAGATTTAGTAGTGCTAAAATAATCAGCAAGTGTTGTTGAGGCCTACTATAAGGGCCTTAATATTGATTTCAATAGTACATACATAAGACTCCCACAGAACACATGCCTGGATACACAGCATATTATGCCAGGTGAAGGAGGGCAAGATTGGTGAGGCTATATATTAGAGAACAGAACACTTTCTGAACAATTTTTGCTAAACAGATGGTGAGAAGTATGATATTCCACACTATAACCCAAATTTAGAGATTTATCTGATGTGTCACTGCCCCAATTAAGAGCCACCAATATCACTAGTAACATAACTTTACTTTCAGAAAGTGACTGCTTGCCTCACTGGAGTTAGAAAACAAAAAATATAGACTAAAATTTGTTCTAAAAATCTACCAGCACTGGCAGAATAGAGAAGTTATGCTAAAGAAATTGAAGAGAACAAGTTGACTGTTAAACAGACACCTTGAAAATGAACTAAGGTATCCTGCTTAGGCAGAAGAGCTGTTATTAATGGTGACAGGGTTGGGCAAGTTGCTCAAATAAATCTACCAGCACAACCGGTCCTAAAGGGAAGGGGAAGCATTTACAGACAGCAGGCAGGAATGGACAAGGCTCAGCAGAGACAAAGGATGAAAGCTGCTGTTCATGGTGCCACCCACAGCCTCTTCACATCGAAAGTCTCCACATTGGTCTGCTCTTCACTTTCCTTAAAACTTAGGGAGGCATTTCAGTCAGCATGCAGAGCACCAGCACGAAGGGGTCACAGCCCACAACTAAGGGGTTTTCAGTGTTAGAAAAAAAAGTTAGTAAGAAGGCAGGGGAGCAAACTAGGAGGAGACAGAAGCCAGAGAAAGTTGCTGAAGCCTAATGAAGATCAGAGCAAGATTTTAAGTTTGGACCCAGGCACCTCTAAGTGTGAGGTGAATTCCCCATCTTTGATCAGTATACAGGACGAGGTAGAAGCATATGTGATATTGGACAAGGTTATTCCAATACAATCCTTACAGAAATCAGACATTTAACAAAAAATTTAACATCTACCTGCCTAGTCTGAAAAAGTGTCTTTCCTGTGTGTGGCAGTTACAGAAGTGATAGAAATTGTGTGTTCAGTTTACAAAAAAGCATCTATACAGACTACTATGTCATCCTAGTTTCTTACTGGTCGTACCTGTTTTATATTAACACAAGTTCAAGAGTTTATTCTATTGATCTTTTCCAATATTACTTCCATCAGTGGAAGGTACAAACTTAAACTGCCTCATTAAAAAGCAAAGGGGAAGGTAGGGAAGAAATTTTGAAAGTTGCTGATACTGCTACTAGAAGACATTACAACCACCAAAAACCAGAGTCAAATATGAGCACTTCCATGCTCTTCCTATATGTTTTTTTTCATTACTATCACAATTGCAGTTCTTAAACTGCAGAAGTCATCCTTTGCCATCTGTTTTGCAATCACCAGCAGAAACACCATTTGCAGTTTGTGAGAATTACTTTCAGATCTGCATCTCAAGATGTTTGTAACAACACATTTTATAGCTAATGTAACCCCCTCAAGTCAGCAGTCTGCTGGAGAACACTATTTCATCCTTAAGTGTTTGCGTAAGGCCCATCTTTATTTCAACTAATAAATTCAAGTAATATGAATGACATAAAATAAAACCCCTTGATAAGCACGCTAAGAGATCAGGTCTCTTATTTCAAAATTACTGTCAGAAACCAAAACAACTCTGAAACAATATCCAATAAATACAAAATCATTTGGCATTTATCAGTTTTCTCTACAACAAGAGCAAATCAGCATTTCTGACCGAAAAAAAAACAGCTAGAGAAATCCTTTCCTTCTGTACACAAGCATAAAGTTCAAGTCAGTATCACTAGACTGATACCTGCTATCCTGCAGTCAGGTACAGTCAGACACGATATGGAAGACAGCAGTACCTGACCTCCTCTAAAAACAATTCATGCATGGCATCTCCACAGAGCTGAAAACTTGAATACCAAATACCCAAGAAAAATTCTCACCCCTCTTCTGTTTCTTCCCTGCTCCCTGGCTGGTAGCCCAGTGATATTTACCTAACCTTTAAAAGGTTTTATTAAAAAAAGCCTCACCAGTTATAGTTCACTTATGCCAGCCCATTCTCAAAAAAAAAAAAAAAATACCGTGTCATCAAAATTAACCAACAGGCTCTGTTTCTTGTGTTTTTTTCTTTGTTTCTTATTTTATGCATTTATTTAGCAAAGCTAAGAGCCTGGCTGGCGCTACAGCCTGATACATCCTTAGCACACTGCCTGCATACTCACTGTTGGAGCCAAGGTACCAGACGACTTCGCCGTGTGTTCTGTTCCATAATAAGGCACCTACAGAACTCACAAGGGCCATCACCAGGAGAATACAGAACAAAACCAGGATCTGCATGTTGGTCACTTTCTCCACATTTGATCTCTTCAAAGGTGCTTTGGTCGAATTCTGAACAGCAACAGAAAATAAAAAAGTCTGGCAATGGCTTTTACGAGAGGGAGTCACAGAGGCGAACTCAGTCTTTATTTTTAGAGTCCACTGTAGAAGTTGCTACTTCAACTCTATTTAGCTCAATATTGTTTGCAAAGCTCAACAAGGTAGTAATAGGAGCCAATACTCCTAATGACTCCAAAACTGACAGGAGACTGGAGTAAGAGAACCATTCAGTTCTAAAGACCCAATACGCTCACCTCCTAATGGTCCATTCCACTGACAGTCAGCAGAGGTGAGCAACACATACATGTTGCTGGTCTCCCCAGGCACTCCCTGCCACTAAAGCAATACAGAGGCTGTAGTCTTAACCTAATTACCTTCATGTGCTAAAATTTTAGGTGGTCATTACCATCTCCTCAGCTGTTAAACTTCAGTTTTAAACATTGTCCAGCTACCAGATAAATTAAGATAAAACAAATACAGTTAGTTTTGCTTACTTATTGAAGTGTTTTGAGACAAACACCTCAATAAGTGTTTACACATGTGCACATGCAGCCTCAAGGCCAACAGTATCCTTGTATTCCTCAAAGCCTCCAGGTCTTACACAACTATAATGACTCAAATCATTTCATAAACTCAAGTCAAAAAGACAAACAGAATACAGGAAAGATGACCAGCTTCTATCAGAATATGTTATAGACCTCCTTAAAAACGTTACCTGCATGAGTTTTGTATCATGACCTGTATACACGACAATACCCAAGACCCATTGAGTGTTTCTCAGTTGTGCACCTCTTAGCAAGATCTGGTCTGGACCAACAGGAACTGGGCTGCAAAGCAAGAAGTATATACATCTTTCCGTTCCTGATAACACTTTAGGGAAGTAATTCTTCTTTCACAGCCTTATTGCCCCCTTAAAAAACCCCAAACCAACCACAAAAAGACAAAAGTAATATAATGAACTTGCATTGTCCACACAACTCGAGAGCACTGAAACTTGTGTAAGTCTAATTCCTGCTAAAGCACAGTGGGGCAAAGGCAACAGAAGGGAACTGTTCTAGTTAGCCAAGACCTGAGAACTTATCTGGCAGCCATAAGCCTCCTCTGCACTCCACCTTGCCTAATATGTTCTCTCACATCAAGGACAGATAAGCATCACACTTGCAAACAGACCATCCATTCCAAGCACACTATAACCTCACATACGCTATTAAACATTTTGGGAAAACTTTATAACCCATGTGACTTTCAAGTGGGATGGAAGTGATCTTCTACTCTTGCATCTGTCACTACTCAACTAAGTTGCCCAAGGAATACAGGTTTTGTGCAGGAAAACAGGTACAGCAAGATGAAACCTGTGTGTTGCTACTGACTTTTCAAATTCTATGAATTCAGGTTTCTGAAACTAAGTTATTTTCTTCCAAGAGTGGCAACAGATCAGTCACACTGTTAAAGACTACAGATTCTGTTTTTTCTCTATAGATCTGAACTTGGTGCAGCCTTTGGCTCTAGCTGGAAAGCAAAGGCTTCTTGTTTCTTCTGTATCTCCTGTTACAAGAAGGCCCTAAAAACCCCAACCATTTCTCCCACTGTTCCTTCTCTTTAGATGTTACTTTTGAAAAAAAAAAAAACCCACACTACAATTCCAAAGAAACCAACTCTCCCATAACAAGCAGAAGACTCCATAGAAAGATAAAACTATGTTATCTTATACTGGCAGATGCTGTGATACTAATTATTACCCTCCTCTTCCCCAGTAAAAACATGCATATGCTCAGTGTTGCAGACTAAGCGCACCCAGGAAGCATCTTCCTAGCCAAATGAATTTATGGCTTTGTTGTCAAGTCTATACCTTTCACCATCTAAGCGCAAGTTTCCAGTGAAGTCGTAAAGATGACGGTTGGGTCCTTCACATTCTATCCTTCCAGATACTTTCATCAATTCTTCTCTTGACTGGAGACTAGCAGTTTGAGACAATCCCTGCAGAGACAAACCCAAAGGAAATTCTTGTAAAAAACTTATTAGAAAGCAACCTAGAAAAATGGTGCTTTCTTCCAACATCTAAGATATCAAATGTAATTAAATGTGTGAAGGTTTCCTGTCAAGTTTGTTGGCGTTTTTTTTTTCTTTTGTTTTGTTTTTAATGAATATCCAATAACTCCTTCCTGCAAGGAAGATTCATTATGTACACTTATGATCCTGCTTATGTAGGATTGGTTTAAATCCCTCTATACAAGAGAATTTGTTACCTACACGATCTCTCTGCAACCAAGAGGAAAGTCCCACCCACAAAGCACAAAGTTGCAAATGTGCAGGAGGAAGCAGGAGATAGGCAATATAAACAGGCCTGACTTAACCCTGCAAGTACGGCTCCACTGACGTGCACCTGCTGCTAAATATAGTCACTCCTAAGGGTAGTCTCTCTTGGGTCACTGCAGCCATTATGCTCTGATCCCACTCGAGGTTAATTATCAATCCATCATGCAACCATAACCTAATGTATCGCCACTCCATCTCACAGTGCACACACCATGCTCTGTTGATTTTCATCTATGAACACCTCCACTTGGTTAAGAGTGATCCATTTAGTGTTTCTTTTACCAGGTTTTGACTGCAGCACTGTAAGCCAGAACAAGGCCTTAAAAGGCCCCACAACCTTATTTCTGTATTTTAAGCATGTGTCCTGAAGCAAATAAAATCTGACAGAAACTCAAGACCTGCTCTATTGGGCTGACCCAGAACAGTAAGTCACATTTCTATAAAGGCAGTAAACAAACAGCAAGTGTACAGCTTTAAAAAAAAAAAAACAAATAATCTATTTCAAAATCCTAATCCAAAATTTTTTTTAGTAATGAAAGAGGGCAAGTACTTCAAACTATTTCTAAACACCATAATCAACAGTATTTCTTCAACAGAACTAGAAATATCCAAATTAATTCTACTACTTACCACAAAGAGAGAACAAATTAACTTAAACATGTAAAAGGCCCTTACAAGCACTCCACAAAGGCAGAAGCAACAGATTGGCACTTGTGACAGCAAAAAGTGCAGTTCTCATCACAAGCACAGCTGCTTTTTTTTTTTAAATACAGAACTTCAATTCCACTTACTGGACATTCAGCAAAACACAGCCAAGGTCTGCTTGATTTGCTTTTGTGCGCTTATAATACTTTCTCCAGATTAGTCCCTGGCACTTGCACATGAAGCATTATTGCTTGGATTTGTATCTGTTGAACAGAAGGCCACAGCCACCTGGAAGGAGATACCTTTTTTTTTTTTAAAAAAAAGAGTACTTGTATTGTCATGCAAGCTAGACTCTGCTGTGCAGCTAGTATTAGATACGTAAATAAAAAAGGGTGAAATTCAGTTTGTTTTACCTGTCGTATTTTAAGATTCGTCTCCCCATCGAGATTAGCTGTTTCAATATAGCACATGGCTTGTGGTTCACTGTAAGAAGCATAAGTTTTTCTATATTAAAACCTTTTCTATACTACTTTTGCACTACAATGGTCCACAATACACTTCTTCAATACACTGCAGAAGACAAAAATCCATATTGATGGCATATGATCATGAAAGAGTCAGATGAAAGTACACATTTTACAGAGATGTCTTTGAACATGAACACTCTCATACAACAAATTGAGAAGTCTAAATCAGAAAGTTAGTAAGAATTTAACAAGTCACAATAAACTTAAATGCCTGACGTGGACTCTTTTACATTGCAATCCATAAAATTGCTTCAGATCGCAAGAGCTATTACTAGGTATGAGTAGTGTAATAAAAGGGGATGCGCTTGGATGGAGAGGGTAGTTCTCTCTGCTATTGAGTTTTGTCTGTGAACTGGACACACAAAAAATCATGGCCACAAGATCACCCTAAAGTTGAGGGACTTACGGAGGTGCATCTGAAGTCACTGCTAGTCAGCTTTTTTTTTTGAGAATCAGGAAAAGATACAATAAGATTGAAACTGAGGGCTGTGATCTGCATCTTCCAGAGATGCTTCTGCCCTTCCCACTAGGGACCAAAACAAAAAAAATTTTTTCCTCACAGAACTGTGAATTTTCCATTAGTCAAGGCCCTACCTACACCTAACATGAAAGAGCTCTGCACAAGTAGTACCTGTGATAAGTAAGGGTAGTTTTATCATGGTTCTCTTCCTGACATGCACCTTAAGATTTAAAACCTCTGTACGGCACCACCAAAACTGTTCTTCCCAGCTGCTAAGGAATATCAGTGTCCCAAGTGCATCCAAAGAAATGCTGCTTTAGCACATTACTTTTCATACTCTTGAGATGTTGCTCCTCTTTTCCAAAGTAACCAACTACTTTAACAGCAAGTGTACTTAATCAGCAGAAGAGTCAGTTATAAAGGCTCCTTAGGACAAAAATTGTTAACAGATAGGTACATTTATAATATAGTAAGAACCTAGATTTTTCTCTCCAGATAATGTTTCTTAAAATAAAGGTTCAGAGCCTGTTCTTTGTCTCCTCCTATATGGGCAACCTGAATCTGAACCCAAGAAAGCCACAGATTAAATCCAGTTTGATTCCAACTTTACTTCTGTCATAAATGCCTTATCTACTACAAATGAAGTGGTTAACTCAGGATGGAGACCTCTCACAAAACAATTCCTCTCATTTCCACAGAAATGTGGAAGTGTTTCCATACAAAGTTGTGTTTGGATTCATTTTTTTTTTTTCTTTCATGTAAATTTGTTCTCTATGTAAAATTTACTTGAAGTCAGCTTTATTCTATGTGGAGAAAAGAGCCAAGATAAAACCAACTCTTTATTTCACCTCTGACAGTCAGTTCAGACACAGAAGATTAACACATTCGAGCAAAAAACCCCATACCCCTTCACAGCATGCAAAGCCTCCTGGTGAACTGAGGACATTTAGTATTGTCATTTAAAAGAATCATGGGAATACCAATTGTAAAGCGTAACTGCCATAGAAATTGCTACTTGCTTCAAGCAAAGCTTCTCCCAGATCAACCTACTTTTAGTTAAATTCTCCAGTTATTATATATGATTATCAATGACAGCATGTTAGTAGAATAAGGTAGAACAAAAAGCTGATGCATGCAAGTGAAGAAATCAGAAGATTTTCTAGTATAACATATTAGGGGAGAAGTTATAAAGTAGAACAAATATTCCTCAATGCTGAAACAGCAAGTTACTGATGTCAAAATATCTGCATATTAAAGTTGACAACTGCTCATTTAAAATTTGGGGGTTGTTCTAAAAAAAAAACCAGTATTGTACACCATGGAATGAAGACACCTCTTATCCTTGATCATGTGACATCTCAAAAAGACCAAGCTTCCCATACAGCTGAAAAAAAACCCCCAACTCCCAGGAATGACACAGACAACAAGGATGGAACAGAAAACGCAGTAGTTTAGAAAATATGTTCCCTTAGAAGTTGGGTCATCTAACAGAAGTGTAGCCTGGAGACCAGAGCAACCTGAAGTTGCTGTTGAAAAGCATGGGGACAGAAAGAAACTACAGAGAAGAGCAAGGTGTCATAAGATTTGACTATTTAAAAAAAAAAACATGCTCAAGAACAGGAACTGCACTACCGCCTCTTGTTTCAGTGTCATCTGCCTAAGTGGACAGTAGTTTTTATTTGGCTTCAAGTCATTCAAAACAATATAGGACCTAAATCACCAGCCATGTACCACTCAAATGCTTTTAGGAACTAGCAACCAAGCTTTATTTGCCTGTATATCTGTATAAACAAGTTGTCCCATATTTCACAAAGAAAAATGAGCAGTACTCCACACTTATGGTTGCTACCATGCTAGGAATGGGCTGTATGTGCACTGTATCAGAGTCAAGGAATAAACAAGTGAAGCCAAAAAGCTATTTTGCAGGCTAGTTATTAGGTGTCAGCTGCACTAGCCTTTTAGAAGTACTGTTTGAAAGAAATCTTTCTTGAGGGGCAGGAAAATATGCAGGAAACTCAGTGGAATTAATGGGAAGAAAAACAAAAACTTAAGCTTCCTTAATTAAATGGAGGGATCCTCAGAAGGCCATAGAGCAACTGACTGCATGAAGCTTGTGTAACAGACCTTCAGTCTTCAAACAACCCAAAGATACACTTCGTGAATTACAGGTACATAATACTACCAAGTCTTAAAGAAGCCTTCTTTCCTAAGAACCTATCTGCAATGATACATGATCCATGGCCTAGTAAAGCACTGTTTTGACCTTGTTCAAGTTTAGATGTGGAGAAGAATTAGTGCCATCTGATGTCTGTTTTTATTAACAGCAAATACAGAGTTTAGAGTCCTCTGCACCTCAGTTCATCAGACACATCATTTCCACACCCATTCAGGATACCTGGAAGATATAATGATCATGTCTGCTGGAAGATGTTGCCCATTGGTGACCTTCACAATATCTCCTACTGCTACCTGTTGAGTCAGGGACAGGAGTACAGTAGCATGGAAGAGAAAAACAAACAGTTCGCTTGTCTGGAATGTTAGTTTGTTATTTTCTTTCACCCAGTAAACAGAACAGCATCATGCACAGAACAGCTAGAGACAGTGCTTCTGAAAGCCCGAGTACTTTTCACTGCAAGCTACAGGGCTAATTTTATTCTTAAAAAGGCATTAAGAGCCATGGTTAGATCAACACATCCTGAGGGATTTCATCCTTCCCTTTTTCTGAAGGCAAAGTGAACAATTCTCTATAGAAAAAAAATAGATATACTCAGTTGGAAAGTGTGAATTTCTGTGGCTTATATATAGTAAAAAATTTTTTTTCTATAATCCTGCCATTATAAAAATTTGAGTTATTTTTATATTTTCCCTTAGCCCTATTTAGATGCACTACTTGTACTACTCACTAGCAAGGAGCTTTGTCTGTACAGATAGGTAGTATCACCCAATTCCTCCCTGACCTGTAGCCACTTGAGATGTGCAAAGTTCTAATTTCTAGAATACTGAAGACCTAAGAGTTTCTGGCACCTCTGACAGGAGTCACACATGCATGGGACTTTCATTCTAAGAAGGACCAAGTAGCACTCAAAACAGTAAGCCAGTCTTGCCTGATGAGTATCAGACTGCTTAGCATCAATGCACTCCTAAGAGTCTGAAATGGGCTTAAAATATTTAACACATTAATTTATAAAAATTGAAACAGATGGCATGTTTGAACAGGCAGATTCACTAATGTTGCTCTGATCCCACTGAAAACAAATTCCCTACCAGTTTCAGCACAAAAAAGATCAGAAGTCTGCCTTAAAGCAAATAAGGTAGGCAGTACAGAACTGTTATTCCCAAACAGTAACTGCAAGCCTTGGACAATATGCAGATGCAGGCACAGGCCAATTCAAGAAGTGCTTAAAGGAATAAGAAAACCAGATTCCAGGCTCAGCTTTAAATATCTTTGAATTCAGTGTCCTCACTACAAATAGGACATGGAACAGCATAAACAGGCATCAGCATTAGCCATCAGAATCCCTGGCAATCTTTAGTTTCTGCTAAACTATAGCCTAACACTGCAGCAGGATTGCTTTTAAGTCTCTTGAGGTGGGTCTCACTTCCCAGACATTTTAAAAGGATGTACTTTTCCCTCATTTATTAGTTAACAGGGCTAATTTTGTCCTTAAAAAGGCATTAAAAGCCACTATTAGATCAATACATCCTGGGGGATTTCAGCAAGTTCTAGAAATAAAGCTCACCAGGTCCTGGCCCAGGGCTTCACATAACATGGGTCCTGAGTGCCTGAGGTAGCAGCAGGGCTTGCGCTCCTTACTTGAGCAAACAGCTTACTAATTAGTTTCAAAACCAAAGAACTTTTTAGCACAGGTAGCAACTAAGTTTTTGTACAGCATTGCAGTGAAAGTTACTCTCCTAAATGTGGACTGAAAACAAGATGCTGCTTACACCTTGGAGCATATTAACTGTCCAAGCAAGAACACTTGCAACAGTTCAGTAGCATTTGACAGAAAGACAGTACTAGGATTTAAAGATGGGTACTCAGGTTCCTTGCTCAGGGCAATTTTCACTATTGCAACAGAAAGGATCCCTCCCACCCCAAGTCACAGGGAATCCTCACAGTGTCCATTAACAGTAGGCCCCTGAATTTATTCCAACAAAAGTAGTTCCCGAACACCTTTTCCCATTCCCCCCCATCCTCAATTTTATTTACCTCTTTCCACATAATGTTCTGCCACATCCCATTTCTTAGAACTGGAAAAGGAAGTTTAAAGTTAGATTAGAATAAATACCCAAAGTTTGGACAAATTTTAAAACAACTGTATCAGCAGCAGTTAGCATTAACCAGAATAGGAACTAACACACACACCCACATATCAGAAGAGTACTTTTCAGAACCTGGGACCACACTGCCATCCACAGCTGTAGGCACATGCACCCAAGAAAGTAAGAATCTGTGCTTAGTATTTATTTTATATAATTTTTATCACCTGCTCAAACCCTTCAGAAAGGAACTGCAACACTTAGCATCTCCTGTAGTTTGCTTTAAACAGCTCTCTGTTCCACCAGAAATTCTGGAGACATTTCAGCAAACAGTTCACACACAATGAAGGTATTTCGTAGCTTTAAGTGCCATGAATCCAGTCTTGTAGACAATTTACTGAAAAAAACAATTTAGCCTTCATGCTTACTGAAACAAATCTAACTAATAAAATTTATTAGTCAAGGAAGTTACTGAAGCAACCATTTTTTTTTTAACTCATAACCGTACAATCTCAAGAGAAAGCTTCCATTAGACATAAAACAGCTCAGAATTTTCAGGGCTGCAGCTTTGCACCTCTGCTCTGCTTAATCCAGTTCCATAGGAGTAATCCAAAGGACAGTAAAGACAATCTTTCTAGAATATTTATAGGAGGATAAAACTGAAGAATTATTATCAAAAGGTATTTGGTTAAAGTAACAAAGAACAAGTACCTAAAAAGACTGCTCCTACTCAAAAACCAGTTTCAATACGAACCTTCTAGGACTTTCTAGGACTAAAAATAGTGTATCGATGCTCTAGATGTAGGACTTAATGTTGTCACTCACACGTAGGCAAGTAAACCATTTAAAGTGCTGCTCCTGAAGAGCAAGTATTTCCCATCAGTCTTGCGCAAAAGTTTGCTAGCCCTGTGCTTCTCTACTATTCAAGTGCATCCCATAGAATATTAAATGCTCATGGCTTATTCTATAATTTGACATTGAAAGGATCAATACATCAGAAGAGTTATTACTGAGCTCTCTACATCTATGAAATATGCTGCTCAGGGGCTTCACTTAGGATTATATTTAGTGTGGTCCCTAGATTCAATGCCATCTCCACATGCACCACATGAAGCCTTCCAAGACATGAAACACTTGCTCAAAGCCTAACATGCTCCAGCTCCTAATGGAGATGTACAGTGCTCACCTGGAGCAGAACTTTCCAATTAGTTTCCTCCAAATGGAATTTAATTGCTACATACCAAAGCCACTCTGCAAAGCAAACCAATCTTTTCAATGGGAAATTCTATACATGAAATGTGCTTTGAAGATACACTACTGCTCTAAAAAGAAACATGAAGATAACTGCAAAGCGTACATGAATGTTACTGAAGCAAGCACTGACACTGAAGTCAGTGTAGTTCAGAACATAGCTAAGCAGCTGGTAGATGTCTACTTTTGAGCAAGTTGAACTGCTCTCTGCACTGATTCCATTGACAAGACCTCGCTCAGCTGTAAGAGGAACCCCAAGGCACACACAACCTGAATTTAATTTATCTTAATCCCACCTTGAGCATAAATTATCTTTTCATTCTCATAACACAAGTCTCAAGAATGAGTCTCTTTAGCTTTCCTCTTAAGAAATTAGGATACGGTTTTAAGTATTATTTTGAAAACTGTATTTAGAGTATTCAAATGTGAAAAATAAAACTTGAACCAAAATAATTTTTCAAGGGTAAATTCCAACCTTGTGTTCTTTAAGGTTGTCTCTCCACAATTACTGTGATAAACTTCCCATTAAGTGTTTTTTAGCACGTTCTCTAACTACAAATGAATTGAACTGCCTATGTGACCTCTGAAAAGCAGTCCCTCGTACTACCTATAATAAGGCCCATTTTGCTACAGCCAGTTAATTGCTGATTTCTCCTCTCACTCCAATAAATAGTTTTCTTGCACTTGAAACATCTTCCCAGACTCTTGTCGAGAAATACCTTGAACTGGTAAAGCAATGCTTTTTGGTTTTCGTCGTATACAATCTCAATGATCAACCTAACTTCTCAAGCACGAAGGAAAAAACAACTCACTGAAAATAGCCCTACAAACACTTTGCCTGTTAACTGAAGTATGGAGCTAGCAGGTTGTTCAGTTGCCCACGTTCCTTTAAGTGTTTCTCCAGCTTCTTGACACTTAAGCTAGATGTGTTTAAGAGGAAGGGGCTCTACTCAAGAGGTCAAATCCCTGTGTCCTCTTGTTGCACCTGCAGATCTCCATGCTGGAGTAGCAAGAGAGCTGGCAAACACAGGGACAGGGAGATCCCGTGACTGCAGCACAGACTGACCATGGGGGAGCCATCTATAAGCTTCATGTTTTGTGTTTTCAGTTAGGGAAGATGAAGAACACAAAAACTATGTCTTCAGGTATTAAGTGCCAAGTAGCATCAATACATTAGGGATACATGTAGGCATTCAGAGGATATCAGTGTTAAATTCTTTCAGTGAAACTTCAGGAAAGCAAATCCACAAGATCACCAGAGCTCTTCCTATATTTTAAGGGCAGCAACATTTACAAAAATGACTTGGAATTCCTTTGACAGCAACTTTTAATGTTTCAAGGATTGAAGCAGCAGGAGCTAGCAGTGTGCCCAGGTAGCCAAGAAGGCCAACAGCATCCTGGCTTCTATCAGGAATAGTGTGGCCAGCAGGACCAGGGAAATGATCGTGACCCTGTACTCAGCACTGGTGAGGCCACACCTCAAGTACTGTGTTTGGTTTTGGGCCCCTCACTACAAGAAGGACACTGAGGTGCTGGAACATGTCCAGAGAAGGGCAATGAAGCTGGTGAGGGGTCTGGAGGACAAGTCTGATGAGGAGCAGCTGAGGGAACTGGGGTTGTTTAGCCTGGAGAAGAGGAGGCTGAGGGGAGACCTTATTGCCCTCTACAACTGCCTGACAGGAGGCTGTAGCGAGGTGGATGGTGGTCTCTTCTCCCAAGTAAGAAGTGACAGGACAAGAGGAAATGGCCTCAAGGTGCACCAGGGGAGGTTTAGATTAGATATCAGGAACAATTTCTTCACTGAAAGGGTTGTCAGGCACTGGAAGGGGCTGCCCAGGGAAGTGGTGGAGTCCCCATCCCTGGAGGTATTCAAAAGACAGGTAGACAAGGTGCTTAGAGACATGGTTAAGTGGTGGATAGGTATGGTTAGACTTGATGATCTTAAAGGTCTTATAATCAGGATAGAGTTTGGCAGGGGAGAAAATTGTTTGTTTTTCTTGGAGGAGCTGATAACTGTATAACTTTGGAATTTTTAAGTTCACGTAATTTCAAGGTTGTCCAATAATCCCCCCATGCCTCGCCCCCAAGTCTTCCACTATAAGCATCAGTCTGAAACATCTACACAGTAAAATTTAACATACCAATAATTACCTAGTCCAAAAAGATATGCATTCTCCACCATCATGACTGTTTAAGCAATAGAATTGTTCAAAAATCAGTGCTCTGGTATTCACTATTTGCACTTTAAGCATTTAACTTAAACACTGGTTAAGTCTTACCTATTGTTTTCTTTTTATTCACTGCACTGTCTGCCTTATGCCTTTTCTGCAAGGAAACAAAACATTTCATTACACCTCATTACAGATTCCAAAACCATTAGAGCTAGAAACATGACAAACTGCAAGATGATACCTTAGGTCATTTTTGCCGTTATGGTTTTTTTTTGGTTTGTGGGGGTTTTTTTTGTTTTGCGGTTTGTTTTTTGGGGTTTTTTTATTATTTTTTAAAGCCACACAGATCATCTAAATCCAAATGGTCTGTGAAAAATATATAATTTAACTTTAAAGTCAGAGTCCTTGCATTGGAAGACAGGCTCAAGCCTGGACCAACAGCAAAACCCCTAAGTTTCCAAAATCATTTTTTGGAAGAAAAACAAGAGGAACAATAAGAAACAGTATATTTAGATGACAGCTGTACTATATATTCTATATGCTGTTTGTTTAGACTGATTTCTAAATTATTCTATTCATCAGAACTTTGCAAAGCCAAAAGAATTCTTCATAATTAAGCAGTATCCAAGTACAGTAGTGCAGATTTTCCTCAAAACAGTTTGCTCTGTGCTAAAGTTGCTTTCCCCCCCACCCATTTTCAAGCCCAAATAAAAAAGCCACATATCTATCAGAACTCTACAGTGCCTTTCTAGCCAAGCCTTTCTAATAAAAGCATGAATAAACAAATAAACTTTGAAGAGGTAGAAACAAGTGTCCTGACTTCTACTGTTTCCTTGTTCACCATCTATAATAAAAATGCTTAGTTTATTCTCAGTGTGCTATAGAAATTCTAGTCAAGTTCAGAGCTTTGAAAGTCAAAAGGATATTTCACTGCTGTTAAAGAAAGCCTCTATAAACTTCAGTTGCATAGCTTTGTGGCATTTTGCGGCTTTTTTGAAACACTGTCTTTAACACAGACTTCCCCATAATTATACTCACATAGTCTTCTATGATTTCTTTGATGCCAGCAACTGTTAAAATAAATAGCAATGGCACCAAGGTGGTATATCTTCCTGTTGGAGAGACATCTGGAATTTGCTGTGGATAGAGGGAGAAGAGATACCTGTTTTATATCTGTATTTAAAATTAGTTTCTAGCAAATTTAGAACTTCATGCAAAACTCTCAGAAGAAAGAACACAGAACTTTCCAATTTGTGCCTGACTGACATCCAGTTTCAGTGGGCAAAGTAGCTTAAGTTCTCTGCAGATTTGAAGAAACTACTACCATGATTGTCCCCCTGTACTCTGTACTGGTGAGGCCATGCCTCAAATACCATGTTCAGTTTTGGGCCCCTCACTACAAGAAAGACATTGAGGCACTGGAGCATGTCCAGAGAAGGGCAATGAAGCTGGTGAGGGGTCTGGAGGACAAGTCTGATGAGTGGCGGCTGTGGGAACTGGGGTAGTTTAGTCTGGAGAAAATTGAGAAAAGGAGGCTGAGGGGAGACCTTATCACCCTCTACAACTGTGTGACAACAGGTTGTAGTGAGGTGGGTGTTGGTCTCTTCTCCCAAGTAACAAGCAATAGGACAAGAGGAAATGGCCTCAAGGTGCACCAGGGGAGGTTTAGATTGGATATTGGGAATAATTTCTTCACCTAAAAGGCTGTCAAGCATTGGAAGTGGCTGAGTCCCCATCCCTGGGGGTATTAAAAGATGGCTGAACAAGGTGCTTAGGGACATGGTTTAGTGGTAGACTTGGTAGTGCTAGGTTAATGGTTCGACTTGATGATCTTAAAGGTCTTTTCCAACATAAACAATTTTGTGATTCCATAAAGTTAGAAGATTAGGTTGTTATACTTGCTTTCTACTCTATTTCTCCTCTTCCCAAGAAAAGCATTCAACTGATGTAATTCAACTGGAAGCACTGATAAACTGGACTATCTAAACAGTCAGCAGTTCTGCAAGAATCCACCAGTGTTTTTCTCCGTATGGTCAATAGCTCCATGTTTTACAATACTACTACTTGTTCTCACTTGTTAGAAAAAGTAGCTTAATTTTATGAACTACATTGGTAAAAGTCTCTAAGTTGCCTTCTAATTTCAATTATAAAGTACACACCTCATTAATATTGCTATTCAATTGTCTAATAATTTCTTTAGCGTTAAGCATAACAACTGAAACAACTTTTAATGCATTACAATTTCATTTCATAATCAAGGCAAACCAATAAAGCAATACCTGCAGTAAGGCAATGAAGAGGAAGAATGCATTTGCAGCTTTTCTTATCTGCTCATACAGGAATCGAGGTAGAAATGTCACCACGCTGTACTTGGCTGTGCTGCAGGTTAGAAAGTTATTTTAGTAAGTCATTGTAAAGTCATGCAGGAATTAGGACCAAAAAGTTTAAAGTAGGCTTCCAAAAGCCAATGTTAGAAAGGTCATACAGTAAAGACAAACATAGAACATGAAGTAAATAGCCTATGTTAGGAGGAAGAGCAGTTTTGTACAGAACAAAAGAGGTTATCACACAGACCCAGAAGGCTGACAGTCCCACTTGAATCACTGGTACCTTTATTATTGGATAAACCACCAAGTAATTTACTGTCCATCCAAACTTCATCACGATGAACAGGCAACCTTCTACCACAGTTCCAAGCACTTCATCAAGTGCTTAAACCCATGTTTTGATAAGGGGTAAGTGCTGAGGGGAGGCAGAGTTGAACATAGGAGAAGTTAGAAATTCTGCAGTACTACTTCTAAAATGCCTCATTTCCCAGTTTAGAACCACTCTATACTGTTATGAATAATCCACTAGAACAATACACACTTTTTCAGATTAATCTTTCCTGGCTATTTTCCCCGAGTAGTTATATTACTATTTCTTCTGCCTTAAACCAAAAGTATACTGCACTAACTAATCTCAACAATCTGTGCAGTTTCTTGTCTTCCTCACATCAAACCCATGACAGGCATGAGTACAACTTAAGGAAAAAAGCATCCAAGATGACAAGAAGGTTTAACCATTCAATTTTTAATTGAGTTCTATAAGCCACCCCCATCCTGTCAAGTTACCCCAAGCAACCTAAGAGAGATTAAGACTTTTAGGTGCAAGTCCTTGCTCTCTGAACACATTAGTTACAACCCAGTCATCTACGTACCTTCCTGAGACAGGTTCTACAGCATAAATTTTCTTGCACTGAGCTGTATTGAGAGTGCATTTATCTAGTAGCATGTAGTGTTGCATTACACAAGGCAAAAAAATATTTTTTGAGTAAGAGCAACTCTGCCTTACTTTTCTCCACTGAATTTGCACAGCACCTGCCCCCACCATTACCTACTGGGCATCAGCATGATTTGGAGCTTTAAGAGCCAAGTGCTTGCAACTGTAGCTCAGGTGTCTTTCCCCAGACACCAAATGCAAGCTCTGCAAGAGCTAGACAACCTGTGACAGGAGTTTTTGTTTGTGTTTCGGAGTATCATTTCGTTTGGGTTTTGTTTGCTTGGTTTTTTTAAAGAAGGCTTTTATTTCCAAGGAACTAAGAGCCCCAAGATACTCCTTTCAAGAAAGAAGAAAATTGCTTCCTGAAGCTCTAACAACACAACTCCTCAAACACAGACAAGATGCTGTTTTACTTATGTTTCCTAGAAGTGTCAAGAACACTTTTCCATTAAGGCTGGTCTTCTGTGTGAACTGCTTTTCTCATTCTCTCCCACCAATAAGACTTCCAGATCAAATGAAATCCATAGCATTACTGTTCACAAATCACAAAGGGCTATGATAATCAAATGCTTTATCTACAATGATTTGCCTTTCACAACCGACTGCTATGGATAAAATTTTTTATTACAACCTTGACCCACAAGCGATTAAGTTCAGTGGGGTTCTCTTCTACTTATTTTTGTACATACAAGGTTAGAGAATGGCTTTCTCCAAGACCATTTATTTGCTTTAACCATTTTCTTCTCCCCCTTTTCTTCCCCATCCCCATTTAACGATATACTGCTGCATCTTCCAGAATCAAACAGTAACAAAGGACAATATGGTATTATTTGTTAAGCAAAGCTCTATTTTGGACACTAGAGTAGAATCAGTGGGGCAAGTGAAACAAAATAATCAATTAAAAAGCACTTAAGATCCCATCTTATTAGACTGTGGTAGTTACATTTCAATTTCACCTGGCTTCCTATTCAAGCAATTACAAACCCCTACACTAGGTTTGTTGCAAATCAGTTCAACAGGATCTCTAAAAAAGGCAACGTGACAGCATTTCTAGCACTACAGCCCAGAGACTTCCTATTGCTACTACTGCTCAGCAGAATCCTGTATTAAAATACTCAATGTGATATTTCACAGGAGTTGCAGATGGTCATGCTTTAACATAGATTATGCCAAGCCAACTGAGTTAAAACATACATCTGGGTTTATCATGTAATATAGTACTCTTATGGTATAAACAAAATTATTTCCTTGAAATGCTATTAGTTTCTTCCAACTGTAAGTATTTTTTTGTTTTAAGCCACATTCACTTGGTCCCACATGTAATAACCTTCCTATAATACAGAATGTAATTAAACATATGTCTCAGAAGTACCTTGTGACTTTAAAAAGATGGGTTAATCAAGTTAATAGTTTAGACCTATCGTACAAGTGAATTTCCCAAGCAGTACTAATTAGAAATCAGAGTTGAGAGATTTTTATACAAAAATAGTATTTCCCTGGACATCACATTGCTAGGACTATATTAGAGCAAGAATTGGTCTGATGGCAATTAAGCCAAAACACCTATTAAACAACATACTGCCATTTACCGACTCTACAGTTAACTAGTGCAAACAATATTCTTACTCTAATGATCATGTTAATGCCAACATAATAAGGCTCTTCTGAATGAGCTTTATTCATATTAAGTCACTCCCATCCTTTGCTTCAGTAACATGACAGAAAATAGGTGCAGTTCTAATTAGAAAGGGGTACATTCAGCTGTTACCATGCAAACACAGAACAGCAACCATGTGTATGCATAAAAAAAAGGTGCATGTTATTATTCAAAATTAAAGCTTCTTATGAAAAGCTAACTAATACTCTAATCTGGGCAGGAGTATTTGGTTTTTTTGGCTCTGAAGAACAGCCCTCTAAAGGACAAATACAATAGTTACAAATTTAAATGCTTCCTCCCAACAGATAGATGCATTGAAGATGACTTCAGGATAATCAAAGCTCAGAAAGAAGTTAAAATCTGCAGGTGAACAGGTAGAAAATTCAGGCAGCTCACTCACAGCACTATTTTGGTCACTGCAGATGAGTATCTGCTCTGACCAGCTCAAATCAGAGGCATCTTATCTTCAAAGTGCCTGGTACCCAACTCCAAGAGCACTGGGTCTGCAGCCCACAGAACGGGTTGCGGCAGGGAGCAGAGGGGAGCACATGCAGGAAACCAAACAAACTGGCTTTTCCCAACACAACAGCAGTTCGCTATGCAAACCTTGCTTAACTATACAAGTTTATTGTTTAAGCAGGTGTGTAAACATTAGAAGAGATCTGTTTCCTCTGTATCTGCAACTTAATTCATGTAAGTCATGTTTCAAGTTGCACCACTCTGCAAGTCAGGAGGAACACTACCAGAAATACTGTTAAATAAACAAGTTCGGATACACATCAGTACAGCTGGAAGAGCCTGGCCCTGCTGTTTCTACGGCAGTGCAGAGATTTTTTGGAATGCAACCACTACAATTTGAAAAAGGTTAGTGTCCTTCACATACTTTAAACTCATTACTGCACTATTAGAGAGCAACAAGAATCAGTTATTTTGATAATACTCACATGAAATGTAGCACAGTAAGCTGAGAAACTCAATAATAGTTTTCCAGTATAGTTCCCCCATTTGTTAACATGGAATTTTTGCACAACTACCATAGTTGCCATCTTCCCTGTTTCCCCAAAACTTTTAATCAAGTTTTACTCTATTGAATCACCGTGAAGCAGAAAAGGCTGCCAGTAATAGAAGCAGAAGAGTTACGTCCTCGAGAACTGTATGCATGCCGGCAGTGTTCAGCTGAATACAGCTCTGCATTTTCCTTGTCAGCTATTTAAGCACTTCCACACCTCCCTTGACAATTTAGATTGACAACTCAGATGAACTTCACCTTCAGACTAACCACGATAAAGAAAACAGGACATCCTTGAAATACATGTAGTTTCATTTCCAGGCTGATAAGTGCAACAAAACTGTCCTTTCCTAGGCCACTATCCCAAAGCTATCCATTCCTCTGTTCACATACTTGAAATACTCTCAACTCTGAGAGCTGAAGAATGAGAGCTGCTTGGTGTTAGTGCTTGTAACGCACACCAATTTGCAGGAATAATTACTAAGCAAGCCAGACACAGACATCTGAACCACAGCAGAGGGGCTGTGTAATTGAAGTGAACATTAAGGATCTCAACTCTTCTCTCACCAAGCATGCTTTCTTTCCATTAACATGTACAGAAGGTCAGATGTCCTGCTTGAAATAAGGGCTCAAATACTGTCTTCAGCGTAACTGTGTGCGTATGCTCAGGTCCTGCAGGCATGTTACACTTCTTTTAATGGCAAGATTGACATTGGCTTCAGAGGTTCTGCAGTAGCTCTCAAGTACAGAAGCAATACAAGCACAAGCTACCTCCAAGACAGTCACCTGCTGCAGGAGGCTCAGCAGAAAGCTTTACATATTGTAAGTGATATTTAACTACATTAACACAAGAACCAACAGGCAATTATTACACTGGATACAGAGAAAGCTCATTCATAAGACCATCTCACCAACAAACAACACTGCCACGCAGAATACTGGCTGGGTTGTTACAAATCCAGATGTCATGAACAAGCTTTTTAGTAGTTGCATTCTTATGACAGCAAAAGATCATATACCTGTCCTCGCAACATATGGAAGATAGTTTATTTTGGTCATGAAACCCACTGGAGAGACACAAAAATCAAATGTTTACAAATTCCCCAAAGAACATATTCTGAAGGCTTTAAGGAGCAATGACTTACACACCTATGCAATGACTGTTGGTTAACTGGAAGCTAGGTCCTAAACAACCAGTGTTGGTTTATTCTAGCAGGCAGCTGTTTCTGTCTGAACCAGAGCAGCCCCTAATCTAATTGAAGAGCTCTACTCTGTCAGATGAACCCTTGAGCCTACAGTTCCTGCAGAGGAAGACTAGCCAATAAGGGTTTCACTACTCTATATGGCCTGTACACTTACATCAGCCAAGAAAAGGGCATGTGATGCTTAAATAATCCACCGTTTGAGATTGCCTCTGAACTCAGGTCAGAATAGAGGAGTGCAGAAGGAGCT